ACACCAAAGTGGTCAGTTTAATACCAGGGTCTGCTAGGTAAAATGCATGGGTCTCCCTGGGAAAGGGAAATGGAAGAGATCTCCTAGGTGAACTAGGGGCAGATTGGGATGGAAAATTGAATGATTGGGTTTGGATGTGAAGTGTAAAAATATTGAAAGAGATGACTGGAAAGGGGTTATTTTGGAGTCAGGTAGAAACCTTATACAAGGGAAATTCCCATGAATCTACAAAGATGACTTGGCTATGACTCCTAGAAATACTGGATATGTAGGCTAAACTGGCCATCTCCCATGATCAGACGGGTGACTACCCCAATTGTAATCAGTGAGCCTCCATCCAGTAACTCATGAAAACAGATGCAGAGACCCACAGCCAAACATTGGACGGAGCTCAGAGAATCCTGCTGAAGAGAGGGAGGAAGAACTGTAGGAGGCAGAGGGATCAATGACATGACAAGAAAACTAACAGAAACTGCTAACCTGGCTCATAGGAACTCAAAGAGTCCGAACCAACAACCAGGAGGCCTTCACGGGACCAACCTAGGCCATCTACTTATATGTGACAGTGTGTAGCTTGATCTACTCATGGGACTCCTAACAATGGGAAGAGAGGCTGTCCCTAATGCTGTGGCTGGCTCCTGGGAACGTACTTCTTATACTGAGTAGCCTTTCCCAGCCTTAATACAAGGAGAAGTGCTTAGTCCTAACACAGCTTGATATGTTATGCTCTGTTGATACCCATGGGAGGCCTGCCCCTTCCTGAAAAGAAACAGTGGGAGAATGGATTGAGAGAAGGAGGAAAGGGAAAGGAAGGATAGGATGGAGGGGAAACTGGGGTTGGGATGTAAAATAAATAAATAAATTTTAAAAAGAAAAGGAAAAAATAGCAGGGGCTGGAGAGATGACTCAGAGGTCAAGAGCACTTCCAGATAATCAGGTTCAATTCCCAGTACCCACATGACACAACCAGCTGTAACTACAATCCCAGGGGATATGACACCCCTTTCTCACCTCCAGGAGAGATGCACACATGTAGTGCACAGGCATACATGTAGGCTAAACACACACATAAACTATTTTTAAGTTACATAACAGTCAATACTGGAAAGTCAGCACCATGTCCAGCAGAATAAGATTTTGGTTAACAAAGCCCAACTCAGTCCATTTTTCCTAACCTGTACCCCAAATAAGATACCAGCAGATATTCTTGAAAATGAGTTGTTGAGGGCATTCCTAGAAATCAGACAGACCCTACTATCTGAGTATTAAGGAGCTTCATTTTTCTAGAAGAGAACATCAAACACTTTACTCTAAGTCTCCTTTTAGGGCAGAGTCCAGGAAAGAGTCTCAAGAACAAGTAGGAGCTGAACTCTTATTCTCAATTTGCTGCCCACCAACTATGGAACCTTCCACGATCTGCTTACCTCCTCCAGGATTTGATAGCCTCAGAGAATCCTGCTCTATACTGTAGAAGTAAGAAGGAGACCCTCAGAACAAAACCCTGCCTAGCTAAAGTTTCTACTTTTAAAAGAGAGCCTATCGGGTTTTCTCTTCCTAGAAAGCATATAAAAGCTATCTTTAGAGTGGTCCAAGGGGGTGAGGGCCCATCTAAAGCAGGCATCTGAATTTATGAATGTCAACCATGTGGTGCTGGCTTTGGAGGCATGAAAGATACAAAAGTGAAGGGGTCATGAAATTATCCTCTGTGGTTCCAGGGAGCCAACAACGCTGTGCAAAGTATGGAAGTACTGGAGTCACTACGAAAAGGCAATAGGCTGGGGACCCTGAGAGGCCACTGCATGAAGCTGTGAAGGTGCGGCCTGGGTTTCAGTTAAGTCCCAAGGGTGATGGAGACGTCAGAGATGTGAAGCATCTGCCAATGAGAGTGGCATACAGGGAGTGGTTCAGCCCAGGCAACAAACCTGGAGGAGTGGAAGCATCCAAGCCCTTGGAAAGCAAAGCCTTAGACACCAGACATGGAGCTAGAGGATTTGCTATTTGCCCTGCTGAGTTCTGATCTTGCTATGGTATTGTATTTCCTCACTATGCCCCAAAGAAACTCTTTCTTCCTTAAGTTGGTCACAGCATTTTATTGCAGCAATAAAAGGTAACTAATGTAAAATGTATCTAACATGGTAATGCATTTAAGCATCTGCTATGCTGTTCATGGGCCCCATGTTTCCTATGAAACCTGTAGGCACAGCTGAGCACAATCCATAAACGGAGGTCAGTAACCTTGCTGATTGATCCTCCCAAGTCTCTTGATGCTGCAAAGACTTTGCTAGCCAGGCTGAATCAAATGCAATCTTCAAAATCAACCCCAGGAAAGATGCAGAGTCTCAGAGAGACTAGGAAGGCTGTACTCTTACACTACTACACGGACTGTAAAGTGATGATCTGACTGATTGCACAGGGCTGTTCATCTGACATTTTTAACCCACCTACTATAGCTCCTTTTATACTAAGTTAATTCAACTGGCATGCTGTCATGTTACACACCCAGGAGGTCATGTTTTAGATTATAATATGTGTCATAAGACAAATAAATGGCTTTTAAAAGTCAGACAGCTATCTAACCAATCTAATAGTCCAGGCTCAAGAACCAGGCTGGCTCTGACCAAAATCATTCTTTGAGAATAGAGCTCTGAATATAATGACTATTGTCACCGAAGGCCACAGAACTAGAAGAAACTCAGAACGTCTGGCTATAGAGATACTTCACCGCAGGGAAGGGAGGAGGTTAAAAACATCTTCATCCTGTGATCAGGGGAGTTGTCCATCTCCCCTGAGGTTACTGGGGAGAGGGAAGATGCAGTAGGAATGAGCAGGGGAGAATGAGATAAGTTCACAGGGTGCTCTGAGGCTGATGGAAGAATGGAGAAGAGGATCTAGGGGATCAAAAAAAACAAACTATATTTGAAAATGTCATAATGAAACTCAATACTTAGAAGTTAATTAAAAAATAAATTGGTGTTTTATAAGAGGCTTTACAAAGAAAATACACTTCATAGCTCTCCATGGAATCATGAATGTGTGTGAGGCAGAAATCTTGGGAGTAGGGTTTCGACACACACAAAAATATCACTGGGGATTGTGTGGTGAAAGCTGTTTCAGATTTTATAAGTACATTTTCCAGAGCCATAGCACAATTCTGGCCCTTCATTCTATTATTATTCCTGTAAATACATCAAAGCAAGTTGTTTTTTTTTCTACTTCTAATAAGCCAGGCATAGGGAACCACCAGAAAAATGAAAGAGGAGAAGCAAAGCCTGCTCCCTGTACTCATTGCCATTTGCCTCTGTCCTCTGCATAGTTAGTACTTTTCTATCATATCCCTTCAACAACAGAGGGTAGTAGTCATAACTAGTAATCCCAATTCCCAATAGGCAATGAGCCCCAGGCACAGCTAGCTGCTTTTTGGGAAAGTGGCCTGAGCTTGTGGGGACAGGAAAGGACTATGCAGCTATTATAGGAAACCAAAGAGGGGAGATTCTTCTAAGCTCCACATGAAGAACTCACTGCCCAGAGGAAACAGGGAATGTCCAAGACCACATGGAAAGAAAGTGGTGCACTGGGACCTGAAACTGAAGTCTTCTGATTATGTTGTGAAAGTTGACTGGACATCCTCTGAGAAGTCCCGTCTAAAGGGCCAACAGCAGCATAGGGGGGCATGCCAGGACCTGATGAACAGTGAAAACTTCAAGTGTGTACATTCACAGGCAGGGGCATAGATTGTTGGCACACTTGATTTGGGTCCTAGAGCTAAGTGCAAGCAGCACTCGAGAGTGTTAATAATAATCCCATGGACTTTCTGTGAAACACCAGGGACAGAATTTATATATAATTCAGAAAAACTCTTCAGACACAGGCTCAACTTATGATGACACTGTGTTGCTCTATGACATGCACCACCACTGACAACCCACAGCCTCCTTCTGAGAAGGATACTCACATTCAGCTCACAACTGAAGATCTGTATAGGTTCATTAATGTTCTGCTTAAATTATATGTTAGTTAAGTAACTGCATTTATATACTATTGTTATTTAGTTTACCAGTATGCCTAAGACTGGAGGCGCATGACTTTAGTCCCAGACCTTGAGAGACACAGGCAGGTCTATCTCTGTGAGTTTGAGGCCAACCTGGTCTACATAATGAGTTTCAGGACAGGCAGGGCTATGTAGAGGGACCTTTTCCCAAGAAAAAAGAATGATATAAAAGCATTTATACATATATTCCACACAGAATCTTAGTACTATACCTACTAATCCTTGTGCAAATCCTTTCAGAACGAGGCAAAAAATCAAAATCTAAAAGAAAACCCAGACTATATTTCCTAATTTGTGCATTTCCTTCTAGTTTCACCATCACTGTTCAGTGCTCTGTGAACACTTCTGACTCTCGAAGCTCATGCCAACGGTGTTCCACTTTCCATGATCTCCTCTATCCCAAGTCTTCTGACCTGAGATCTTCCCCCCAAAGAAGCATTTCCTACCACAGTCCATGTCTTCATCCACCCCTCTCCAGTTAGCACCATTGCACTGGGAATCCAATGTGCCTGGGAGGCCCAACCCAAATTTCTAAGGCTCCCAAGGCTTTCCATGCTCACAACTTCCTAGGACTGCTTCTCTGTCCTCTACCACAGTCAAATCCTCCTACCGGGGCCACCTGTGTTCACGCCTCACGAGGACCCCTTTCTCTTATCAAGACCTTCTTTTCTCTCTTGACCACCTCCTCCCCCCAAGACCACTGCTCACACAGTCCCCCGTTAGAAATTTCCCTTGTAAATCAAATCCCCAATACTGACCACAGCTCCAAACGCACCACCACCCTCCTGGGTATTTCTCTAGCCCAAACGACAAACAAAAAAGAGTCAGAACCAGCGACTTCAGTTTAGATGCTTTAATAGCATGTTTGATTAGTCCCCCAGCTAGAACAACATTGTGACTGGTTGAGGTTGAAGGGGTGGTAGACCCTCCAACCTCTGAGACCTAGGCACCATTAGTTCTCATTGAGTTCTGATGTCTCTTCATCCATAGATCTGGGGTCTCCGAAGAGTTCGTGGAGCTGCTCGTTGTTCTCTAACACTTGATACACGTGTTCTGGGGTGATGCGCTTCCTGCCGTTGGTGTGAGCCTCCTCACCAGCCAGATCAAGGATGTTAGATGCAATGTACTCAAGCACACCGGCTAGGAATACTGGTGCAGAAGAGCTCAGGCGGCGGGAATACTTGCCCTCTCGCAGGTAGTGGTCTACCCGGCTAACAGGAAATTGAAGCTCTGCTCTGGTGGAGCGGGAGATGTTGCGTCTGCTGGAGATTTTGTTTCTGCAGGAGGTGTTGCCTTTGCAGGAGATGTTTCCTCTGGATCTTCTTCTAGCCATGGTGCTTGTTTGAAGAGACTGGCTGAACTCCAGGGCTCTTCTGGCCTTGGTCTCTCACAATACCCAACCCTCTGAACTACACATGTATTTATCTCTTCAGGACAGGTTTCTGTTACAACACAGACTTTATGATGTCACTGGTATCCACTGAGCTCTGATGGTCAGCACAGAAATGCCCATATTAGGAAAGAAACTGCCCACCTTTTCATGTGTGTGTGTTATACATATACATATGCACATGTTGCCTGTGTGTGGGTGCATGTGTGTGCGCCCTGAATTTGTTATCTGGAATCATCCTTGATCACTTTTCTGTCTTATTTACTGAGACAAGATCTCTCAATTCAAGTCAGAGCTCACCAATACAGAGAATCTTACTTACTAGCCACCTTACTTGAGAGATACTGCCTTAGCCTTTCACAGCTGGAATTACAACAAGCCACCAGGCCCACCTGATTACATCCTCTTTTGATGGGAACCCTTTCTATTGATTTTTATATTCTGACAAGACCTCTGCGTCAATGGAAAACTCCTACCGAGAGGATTAAACTCTATGTTATGTATCAGACTCTAGCTTTCTCTCAATTGATATAGTTACCTTAGTGTTCCCAATCAGTATTCCTGTTTGTAGTTTTTACTCTTCTTTGAACTGCTCATCACATTTGCCATTTCATTTAATATCTGCCAGATATTTACATGTTAAGTATGTAACAGGTGTTCATATCTCCTTGAGGATTTTGATTTTACAATTTTAGATCATCTTACCCCCTCCCCCCCCGTTTTGGAGCACATCCACAAATATACTTAACTGATTTACTTTATCTGAGACACTTTACAGCTATTTCCAGTTCAATGACAGAAATGTACTCCCATGCCTACCCTTTTCATCAGTTCATGTGACTCCTATACATCAACAGAACACTTAAAATTTATTTTTAACATATAGTCATTGTACCAATTAATGGATTTTTCAAATTTTGAATATTTATTTATTGGGGAGCATAATGTTCTGGCAAGCATTTGGGAGTCGGGGAAAAACTTGAGGAGTTGGTTCTCTCCACCATATGGAAGTCACTAGTGTAAGTACTAGTCTGAGCCTCCATCTTTGTAGGCCCCCCACCCTCACCAAACCTGACCCCTCCCCGAGGAGTGGCAAGACAGCCCTGCCCCTGTGCCCACCAACCTGACCCTCCCCCAAGGAGGGGCAAGACAGCCCCACCCCTGTGCCCATCAAACCTGAATCCTCCCCTGAGGTGAGGCAAGGCAACCTGCCAAAACCTTGACCCCTTCCTCAAGGAGGGGCAAGACAGCCCCAGCCCTGTGCCTGCCAAAATCTTGACCCCTCCGCCGAGGAGGGCCAAGACAGCCCACCAAAACCTTGACCACTCCCCAAGTCTATTTAAACTGCTCCTGGGAAAGTGAGGCCTTTTCTCCCCACTCCTCTACCGGTTACCCCTACCCCCACCCCTCCCCCAACCCCCCACTTCCCCTACCCCCAAATCCCCATCTGAGAATGCAGAAATCCCATTAAACCTGGATATCCTTTAATTCGACTCTATGTCATTTGGCTTGATTGGGATTTTTGCTAGGCACAGAGCTAGCATTACGAAAATTCCTAACAACTAGGTGTAGAGACAGTGCTCTTAACAGTTAAATCATCTCTCCAGCCCTTGTGTAAAGTTCTTTTTGATTCCGTTTTTACTATTGTGTTTTCTTCATTTCTAATTTAGTGTGCTGGCTTTTTTCCCCCTATTCCTTTACAGTTGATAAGTTATTGCCCATTGTTAACAACAGTGACTGACACTTTTCTGGTTTTGTTCTATTTTCTATTAAGATAAAGTTTACAGCAGCGTAGTACTCTAATGTGTAGATATTCCATACTTTCTTCATCCATTCTTCCATTGAAGGGCATCTAGGTTGTTTCCAGGTTCTGGCTATTACAAATAATACTGCTATGAACATAGTTGAACAAATGCTTTTGTCATATGATAGGGCATCTCTTGGGTATATTCCCAAGAGTGGTATTGCTGGGTCCAGGGGTAGGTTGATCCCGAATTTCCTGAGAAACTGAAACACTGACTTCCATAGTGGTTGCACAAGATTGCATTCCCACCAGCAATGGATGAGTGTACCCCTTCCTCCACAGCCTCTCCAGCAGAGGTTATCGTTAGTGTTTTTGACTTTAGTCATTCTGACAGGTGTAAGATGATATCTCAAAGTTGTTTTGATTTGCATTTCCCTGATTGCTAAGGAAGTTGAGCATGACCTTAAGTGTCTTTTGGCCATTTGAACTTCTTCTGTTGAGAATTCTCTGTTCAGATCAGTGCCCCATTTTTTAATTGGGTTAATTAGCATTTTAAAGTCTAGTTTCTTGAGTTCTCTATATATTTTGGAGATGAGACCTTTGTCTGTTGCAGGGTTGGTGAAGATCTTCTCCCAGTCAGTAGGTTGCCTTTGTGTCTTAGTGACAGTGTCCTTTGCTTTGCAGAAGCTTCTCAGTTTTAGTAGGTCCCATTTATTCAATGTTGCCCTTAATGTCTGTGCTTCTAGGGTTATACATAGGAAGCGATCTCCTGTGCCCATCTGTTGTAGGGTATTTTCCACTTCGGTAAAAAACAATGACTTCTAGAATTTTGCATGCAAATGGATGGAAATAGAAAACACTATCCTGAGTGAGGTATCCCAGACCCAAAAAGATGAACATGGGATGTACTCACTCATAATTGTTTTCTAGCCATAAATAAGGGTCACGGAGTCTACAATAGGTGAATCTAAAGAAGCTAAGTAAGAAGGGGAACCCAAGGAAAAACATATAGTTATCCTCTTGGCTAAGGGAAGTAGACAAAATTGCCAGGGAGAAAATTGGGATCTTGGGGGTGGGGTGGGATGGGGGTAAGGGGAGATGGGGAGAGAAAAGTTAGAAGGGAAGGAGGTCGGGCCTTGGGAAAACAGGAGGATTGGGATAAAGGAAGGTTGGACAGGGGAGCACGGAACCACAATTCTTAGTTAAGGGAGCCACTTTAGGGTTGGCAAGAGACCTGACCCTAGAGGGGCTCCCAGGTGCCCAAGCTGAGGTCCCCAGTTAGTTCCTTGGGCAGTTGAGGATAGGGAACCTGAAATGACCCTATCCTAGAGCAATACTGACGAATACCTTGCATATCATCCTAGAACCTTCATCTGGTGATGGATGGAGACAGAGACAGAGACCCACACAGGAGCATTGGATTGAGCTCCCAGGGTCCCAATGAGGAGCAGAAGGAGGGAGAACATGAGCAAAGAAGTCGGGACCACGAGGGATGCACCCACCCACTGAGACAGTGGAGCTGATCTATTGAGAGCTCACCAAGGCCAGCTGGACTGTGACTGAAAAAGCATGGGATAAAACTGGACTCTCTGAACATGGCGAACAATGAGGGCTGATGAGACGCAAAGGACAATGGCATGGGGGTTTGATCCTACGTAATGTGATGGCTTTGTGGGAGCCTAGCCAGTGTGGATGTTCACCTTCCTAGATATGGACGGAGGGGGGAGGTCCTAGGTCTTACCACAGGGCAGAAAACCCTGACTGCTCTTTGGACTGGAGAGGGAGGGGGAAAGGAGTGGGGGGAGGGGGAGAAGGGTGGGAGAAGGGGGCGTAGAGTGGGAGGAGGGGGAGGGAAATGGGAGGCTGGGAGGAGGTGGAAACTTGTTTTTTTTTTCTCCTTTTCTCAATAAAAAAAGAAAAAAAAGATAAAGTTTACATAACATAAAATTTACCATCTTAGCCAGTTATAAAATTTGGTGTCTACTGGCAATGTTATGAAACTGTTAGGATCCAACCATGGAAACTGCTTCCTGGAAACCAGATTCAAATGTCCTTACAGTTCTCATACCTCCAATCCTTTGCAGAGTAGCTTTAAGGTATTATGAGGTCTGATGCCCCAGTCTGGTATCGAACTCTTATATAGACATGGACGGCCTTGAATTTCTGATACTCGTGCCTCCACCTCCCAAATGCTGAATTATAGGCATGTGTCACCATACCTGGTTTATTCTGTGCTAGTGTAAGGGATTAAACCCAGAGAGCTTCAGGCAAGTTAGGCAAGCATTCTAGCGACTAGGCCACATTCAAGACTTCCACCCCTTTTTGAGACAGAGTATCTCTCATATATAGCAGACTGGAAACAAGGAATCTTAGACTTCTTATTTTCCTGTTCCAAGCGCTGTAGTAAAGTGTGCACCACCACACTTGGTTTGTGTGGTTCTGGGGACTGAACTCAGGGCTTCATGTATGCTAAGTAAACACTCTACCTACTGAGCTATGATACATTCCTAGCCCCTTTTGTGTTTCTTCCATTTCTTTTTCTTTTTTCTATGGTAATGAAAACTGAACAGAAGGCCATGCACTTGCTAAGCAAGCGCTCTTCCACTGACCCACATTCCCAGTCCTACCTTCTGACATCCATTGAAAACAGACTTACCTCCCTTTATGCACTCATCTCAGTACTCCTTCTTATATCTTCAGGTCTGTTCTTTGGTCTACTTTTTGAGGTAATTTTAACATCTTTTTTTCTCATGATCTAAATAGAATCTTTAAATATGTTCATTTTGTAAAAACTCTAAATCTTAAATTACAAAAAAATTCACAGAATCTTGCTTCTTGTACAGAGAGCTTCAGTGACTATAACTGTGGCAGGAACCTGAAAATACTTTTTAGCATCTCCTCTGCTTTACCTTCATATCTAATTAGTCATCAGTCATTCCTTCTCCATATCTTTAATATCGTTTCAAGAATCCATTCTGACCATTCTACTCCAATGCATTATCACTGTCCCCTACACATTGTAGTGACACACTTACTGTCCTTCCTATTCCTTCCCAGACTATCTTCCAATTCATTTCCAAGGGTGGTCATTTACTAATACTAAATCTGCTTGTGACACTGTATCACTTAGAACTCATCAGTGGCTTCCCATTCCATGTGGGCTAACACTTTAAATCTTAAGATGCTCTATATTGTTTTTCCGTAGTCTCTGCCTCATTGGCCATTTTTAAATATAAATCTATGTTCTGGAAAAGTCTGACTCATTTCCAACCTTGGTTAGAATCCACAAAGTCTCCTTAACTTTTACTTTGCATACTTTATCAGAAGTAAAATAAATACATGATTAATGATTTATTTCATGTCTGTCATTTTCTTTCAAGGTGATAGGAGCCTGTCCATTTCATTAACACTTTATCGTCAGAGACAAGCGCAGAGGCTAGAACACAGAACATACTCAATAGATACTACACTGCATCCATGAATGAAACTACACAAATCTAATCTTAGCTCACAGTTCCTCTAGTAGACTGTAGGTATGATTTCCCTCTTCAAGTAGATGAAAAGAACACCCTCTACCTCATGGGACACCATGAGAAACAAATGCTACGAGGTTCAGCACAGTACCTGCCATAAAATAAGTGTCCATGGAACAATCTTTATTACAGTCAATTTTACCTCTTATAGTAAAATACAGAAGGGTACCCTCAAGCAAGACGAATGGTAAGCTGTCTGAACCTTCCCAGAGCAGAATAATCTTAGAATTCTAACCTGGGTTTAAGAGCAACATATCCTCTAAGATCCCAGTGATTTGATCAAGCTTCTGCTGACTAAACTGAAGAAGTCAAAGACTGCCCACCTTATCCAAAATGAAGTTTCACAGAGACAGGGTGTGTTATTTGTTAACTATACAAAAATTTTGTAATAGTGCATGATGTTATTTATATAAAATAGGCACAATAGACATATCCACAGAAATAGCAAGAAGATTCGCAATTGCTAAGGACAAGAGAACAAGGAAAAAATAGTGACTGATAATGTGTAGGTTACTTCTATGTTCTAAATTTTAGAGTCTAAAATGATAGGTAACAGTTATGTTGGCACAACACTATAAATATACTAAAACTACTGAATTTGCTTTACAAATTAGACTGCAGTTAAAAAGAAAATAACCCTTTAGCTATCATGTAGATGGCTCAAGACCACAAAAATGACTCAGTTTCACAACTGGAAGCAGTACCACGCTGTAAAGGAGGCCTAAACTCTGCCCACATGGACAAGAGGTGAGTCTCTAAGAACATATCAGTATATTAGTCTTCAATAAATTCTAACTCCCACATATTTGAGCCACCTCAGCTGGTCCACACTAGAGCACAGATAAACTTATCCTTTTGAACCCTGACCAAAATACAGATTCATAAGCCCCCTCCTCCAAAAAGTGTTACCATTTTAACTTACTGGGAGTTTAGGTTAGCAAAGAGAACACAGATTCAGAACAAATGAACATCTAAATGGGTTTCACCCAAATAAAAATTGTTTTGCTTCTCATTTTGAACCTCAAATAAAAACAGAAAATAAAAAAAAAACATGCATACATACTTCTTCCAGTAGAGATGTTCTGCTGCAACACGGTAATATACAGCTGTAGGGTCAGTTGTGGGGCAGAGCCTAGGAAAGCCTGGATCACTGATGCCCGACTGAAGGCGGAACGGTGGGTAAACATCTTGCCTTCTGCCTGGCCCACCTCCTTCTCAACCTCCTCTGAGAGGCCATCTTTTGGCATCTGTCGTTTCTTAGTGATGCTCACATAAGGCTCTTCATTCGGGTTGGACTGACAGTAGAGGCAAAAGACTTCAAAACACCTAGGAACAAATTAATGAGTCATTGCAATTAATGACTGGCAGAATTCTGTCCTTTCCCAGTCATCTTGTTTTCACTTAGCCTGATTCTCAAACCCTTGCCCGGCTATTCTAAATCTCTAAGGATCAGTTCTTAGGGGTTCAGTCTTCTACAAGGACTCCAGTAGACCACTGGGAATTGAGCAAGAATCAGGAAAAGGTGACACTGAAAGCTACCAAGGCAAAGAAAACAAGACAATGGGAAGCAGTTAACACTCTAGAGCCACAGAAAAAAATGGTTAGCTTTTCTTCCTGACATACATTACCTGTGCAGCTGTAGATAAAGCCCTTAGATTCTGAACTTTCCCTCTCAATAATAAAATAGAGAAAACACATACTTTGTCATCCTGCTACGAAAGAGGACTAAAGGGTATAGGGCTGTGTGTAAACGTTCCACATAAAACTGATGCCACAAACCAGCCTAGTTAAAAAAGGATGTGCAGGCTCACTTAATCATCTCAGCACTCTCTAGAGTCTAGAGGCTGGGGAAGAATAATTGTCAAGCATTCAAGGCCAGTGTGGGCTATACAGTGAGTTATAGATGAGCCTCAGCTACAATAAGGCTGAGAGATGGTGGAGGAAGCGGGGATGGAGGGAGGGAGGAAGGGAGGGAGGAAAGGAGGAGAGGAACATGAAGATGAATGAAATTAGGTACTTTTATAGCACATAGTTGCTAAATGCTAAGAATTTAGAATTCATTGAAAGACCACATATTATCTATTTTTTTATCCTAATAATCCCATATTGGCCATGGTAAATTCAAACATGCCTGGGGTTGGCAAATGCCTTATTTAAGGAGTCCGAAGCCTGCTCTAGGGACACATCCTTAAGGAACCAGTGTCTAAAATTTTTGTCTCTAGATAATATTATAGATAGACACTGATGGAAAGAAAAAGTACTGGTGGCTATGATTCGTTTAAAACAAATACACACAGAGAGAGAGAGACAGAGAGAGAGAGAGAGAGAGAGAGAGAGAGAGAGAGAGAGAGAGAGAGAGAGGATAGATTTGATGGATGGATCAATGGAACAATGGAAAGGTACATGAAACAAAATGTTAATTATAGAATCTAGGATGCAGGTACTTGGGTGTACAAGTCAATAAGATTTTCTTTTGCATGTTTGAAAGCTTACATAATGAAATGCTAGGAAAAACAAGTTTTCCCTTAGTTTTAAACATTGACTTTTATGCCCTAAAACAAGCACTTTCATAACAATCTTATAACGCTGCTAGATTTTATGGCTTCACTGGGTTTATAGAATGTTGTTAACTTTATAATATCACCTGGAGGTATCTATGACAACCTAAGTACATTTATAATTTGAAATAGTAAATTAAAACCTTTTGATGCATGAAAAGAAATACAACAACCTTTCCGGTAAACACGAAGTGGACAGATTTCATGATTATTACCTTTGTTCACTTCTTTCTAGGGGGAAGAAAGTGTGTGGTTTGTGTATTGGGGAAGTCTGTCTACTGTCTTGTAATATATATTCAATCAAAGATGATTGTTGGAGCATCGAAAGTGGAAATGCATAGAAGATCGAATAAAATGGTCATGGTATTTATTCTCAAAGTGGTGATGACAGCAGATGTAGTTTACTAAATCTGTCTACTATCTATCTTGTAATATGTTTTCAATCAAAGATTCTTTAATATATTTCATCAAGACATGGCAGTATAGTCTAGTTTGTTCAGAAGAAAAAAAGATAATACTTTAGTTCATGAATTCAAGGCTATCTCCTCCAAAATTTAAACCTTTGACTGACAATGAACACCTCTGTTACTATTGTTAGACCATCAAAAGTGGTAAGGTGTAGAAGAGAGGTTAACGTGGTCGTGATATTTATTCTCAAAGAGGTGATGATAGCAGATGTACTTTACTAGATAGCTTGAAGACTCCGACTCCATTCATTCAGAGGTGCTCACTTTCTAGATAGGATAATGGAGCATATACAGAATAAATATAATATGTAACACAACAATATTTATGTTGTACTTTTAGTTCACATGATAGTTTCTGATATACCAGCTCACAAAGAAACCTTACAAAAGAATTTAAATCAGCATCACTTCTAATAGCAAAATAATGGGATTATTTTAGAGGTCTTTAAAATAAAAGGATAAATATATACAAGCACATCCATTCAACTAAATACTATGTTGTTCTCAAAACCAACAGTTGAGGAAAATGTCTAATATAAATAGCATCTGGTGAGATGGCTTAGTGGGTGAAGGTGCTTGCTACCAAACCTGAGCATTTGAGTTTAATCCCTGGGTTTCTGTTAAGTAGTGAAAGAAGAGAACAGACTCTCCCAAGTTGTCCTCTGACCTTCACACAGGCACCCAGATATGTGTGAGACATGTGTACATGCACGCAAACACAGACACACAAATACACAATCAAATTTACTTTTTCAAAGAAATTAAAATCCTGGGCTTGGAATATAGTCTGCTCAGCATGTATTAGGCCCTGGATTCAATCCATAACAATCTAATTTATTAAAATAAAAATACATTTATCATATTTGAAAAAATATTTTATCATATTTGATAAGGGAAGCAATTTTTTCAGTTTCTTTTTTTTCCTTTTTGTAAATTGATTTTTATTGAGCTTTACATTTTTCTCTGCTCCCCTCCCCTTCAACCCTCTCCCAAGGTTCCCATGCTCCCAATTTACTCAGGATATCTTGTCTTTTTCTACTTCCCATGTACATTAGATCTATGTAAGTCTCTCTTAGTGTCCTCACTGATGTCTAAGTTCTCTGGAATTGGGAAGCAAATTTAAGAGAAACCGTCAAACATATATTCACACAAACATACACATGAACAGTGAAATGACAGAACTGAATTATTGTGACTCAAAAGTGCCAATTGTTAAAAAGAAATTGTGTAAACAAGTTGTTAAACAACTAGCACATTGGTCAGACTTGATGGGGATAAATTTTGTAAATTAGTAAACTGCTGAAATTTGGGTTCATTTTTCCTGACAGTTTACAATCATACCCCATAAAATTACTAGCAAGGATACAAAACAAAGCATTAAGAATTATTCTGTTTAGGCAGTTGAATTAAAGATTTTATTTTCTTCACTGTACAAATATATTTTGTTTCTCTGTTATTTTAACAAATATTCTTTACTCGTGATTTAAAAGTTAAAGTTAGAGATTTTAAAGACCAAAATAAACAAGCAAAAGGTAGAACATGCTAAAAGCTGCTCTAAGAAATGAATGAATGAAATAAGGGTTTGTATAAAAATGAAACTCTATTGATGTTTGAGGAGAGTATATAAAATAGGAATCATTTATAGAATTTTTTTAAATGAAACTTGAGATCAACTTATGCAAATGACAAAGTTTCCAGCAAAAATAAAAAAATAAAAAAAAATAATGGCACAGGAAGCTCCAATGTTGGAGCCTCTCACAATTCACTGCTTTCCCCAAGTGATTTATTTGTCTTTGTCCTCCTTTTAGACAGGGTCTCTCTATGTTGTCCTGGCTGTCCTGGAGCTCACTATGTAGACCAAGCTGGCCTTGAACTCATAGAGATTCACCTGCCTCTGCCTCTGAGTGCTGGGATTAAAGTTATACACCACCATGCCTGGTATATCTTAACAAAACTTCAAACAATGTATCTTATAAATTTATGAACTGTTCCAAGACCTCTTACTACTACTACTACTAAACACTTACTACTACTTCTAAAAACTAAGAAACAAACTATTGTTTTCTTAAAATTCTGCCAAGAATCATCTAATTACTCCAATGTTGCTTAGAGGGTTTGTTTTAATTGTTTCTCTGCACGAACTACTTGAATAAAATCACCCAAGGTAAGAGCTAAGGATGTAGGTCAGTGGTAGAGGACCAGCATCCTTCATAAAGATTATTCAAGGTAGTTTTTCAATATCACATACTCCTTTGGTCAGGAAGCTTTTGTGTAATGTAAGTATTTTAGGTTCTATAGGCTATCAGGGTCTCTGCGCAACTCTGCCTCTGCAGACAAATAATATATAAAGAAATGGCTATAGATAGTTATATTCCAATAAAACTTTATTTACGGGGGCTGGAGAGATGGCTCAGAGGTTAAGAACACTGACTGTTCTTCCAGAGGTCCTGAGTTCAATTCCCAGCAACCACCTGGTGGTTCATAATCATCTGTAATGAGATCTGGTTCCCTCTTCTGGCCTCCAGCCATATATGGAGGCCAAATGTTTTATACATAATAAATAAATCTTAAAAAAGAAAGAAAATAGAAAAAAAAACTTTATATTTACAAAAACAGGTGGTGGCATGATTTGGCCAGTGGAGCACAGCCTGAAAACCTCATGATGATCTTTGCTGTAGATATTTAGTAATTTGATCATTTTTTTCACTCAGTTCCATTTTCTAGCATAATATAATTTATTTGTCAATCATAACAGCAGTTTGTCCCCTAGGTAAAACTAGGCATGTTGGTGGCAGCACAAATGACTTGAGGTACCAAGGACCCTAATGAAAATACTTTTTCCAAAGAAATATTTGTTTTTTCCAGAATATTTAGTATAACTTAAAGATTTTCCTTCAAATTGGAAAAAAGATAATTCAAGACACTATCCAGTTCATATTAGAAAAAACTATAGAAACTATAGCTAAACATTTAAATATATGACTAAAATTATAATAAATAAATGAACTAAATAGTTCTGCCAATGACTCCCTGGAGTAATAAAGGGGTAGAAGTGAGCTAACAGTTACAGTCCATAATCATTAGTGGAAGGTATTACAGACTAAGGATCTGACATATTAAGGCAAGCACTATATAGAATAAAATATATATGCACTTTAATTGGGTCATATTGTATGAACTCAATAACAGCATCTCCCTAAAAATGGTAGTTTGGCTACCCTAACTTGAGTAGAAGTAAATTGCCCCCAAACAACTTGAAAATATTACTAAAAACCATTGCTAAGGGGTAAAAGGGAAGAAATGTTGTGATTCCCTTGTTTGTGGAAATAACTGGATCTTTCTGAAAAGCTGATGATTTCAGAGTTCAAATTAGAACCTGTCATTAGGAAGAAATCTCAGTAATAATTTTTAAGTCCCATTAACCAAAAATCAACAAATTTCCTTTTCATTTGCAAGCTAAGGGTCTTGAAACCTTATTTTGTGTATCTCATTTCAAAGATCATGGGTCCATTACTTCTTGACATAAATCAGCTAATATCTGAATATGAGACTCTTTTCCTTAATAAAGTTTTTTAAGTACATTGATGACTGAAGAATACCAAAGAATTTATAATAAAGAAGAAATTTGTCTTATGTTCATATTTAGGAGGAAAAAACCCTAAACTCACACTCTGCCATTCAGTTCTATTGTTCTTAACATCTTAATATACACCCTTGAACTCTAGATTATAGTTGCTGTTTTTATAAGCAATATTCTATCAGCTTTGTGTTGAGGTACTCTTAAGGTTAAGAGACACTTCTAAATGACAGCAATGATAGAGGATTCTTACTTGCCTGGTTACTTTTGGTTGTTTATTTTTTTTTTAAATTTTGCTCACAAATAATGAACCATTTAAAGCTTTGAAGATGGAACTGCTGATAAAGTGTACTGAACACTCTACTTTCTTTTACAGAACACAGAGAACATAATGAACCTAATTGCCTTTTGGAAGGAAGCCTTGGGAACATGCTCCAGAGCCTCATTTACTCCTTGTATAAAATGGGGACAGGGATTGAGAGCGCCTATAGCATTGGCGGAGCACGGGTTTAGTATGCCTAAGGTCCTTGATTCCAGCACCAAAATAACAGATACGCAGTGAACAAATCCAAGAGTCAATCAGCTAAGGCATGGAGGTGTGAACCAATCCTCTCAGCACCAGCAACCTTTGTGAATTCTCAGTTCCCCAAGCCACTCCACCCAAACATGAGTTTCCTCCCCACAGATGACATTAAATGATGAGTGCCTTGTCTAAAGTCAAACCTCACTTTGCTTCTCGAGCAGGGGCACTAGCAGGACCACAGGGCTTGCTTAGGAACATGGGTTCCCTACTAGCTATTTGATTGCCATGCTTCCTAAGTACCCCCAACCCAATTTTCTGATGCCTCCCTGACTGCCAGCAACACTACTACCAGCATAGATTTCTTGTCCTTTCTAGGAATCCCTAGTTTCTGAAGAATGGGGAACCTGTTTCCCGAGTTTGCCATAACTGTTAAACTGCACAGTACAGTAAGCTAAAACGGTTGTGTTTAAAGTAGCATGCAAAGTTTTAATATTGTGAACGCTTTTTTAATCTGAACATAAACTTTTACTTTCGCATTTCCCCGAGTAAGATAAAAGATAGGAAAATAATACATTTAAATTCCCTTCAAGTTCTGAGATTAAAATCAGGTCTATTTCATGACTGTGTACTTCTTGTTTTGTGTTCATAGAGATTAATTCTCAGGGCTAAGGATTTAGCCCAGTGGTAGAGCATTTGTCTAGCCTGTACCAGGCCCTGGATTGACTCCACAGCACCACAAAGAGCAACAACAACAACTTCTCCCCCCAGAAATGGCATTAACAGTTTTTCTTAACACATAGTAACTTCCTGTCTTCAAGGCACATTGTGTCCCAGATTTCATGACTATATTAGAAATTGGGCAGACTCAGAAGACATCTCTGGTACCGTATGTTTTCACGCTAGACAATAATCATCACGCTAAGAGAAAAGTAGGGTGCATGAATTTATAGACTTCTGTATATGAATTAAATAAATTTTAACAAAGCACTTAGAGTAGTGCCTGGTACACAGTTAAGTGCCATGTGCTTGATAAACAAAATTAAATGACCCATAAAGGCTCTGACTTTAACCGCGCTTAGAGTAACTTCTAAAGACCACGCATGCCAATCCTGCAGAAGTCCACTTGACCACAGAGAAAGCCACATACTTTTAGGAGACCAAAAAAAAAAAAAAGGCAAAGACTGCTGCTCTTTTTGAGCAAATTCAAGTTAACATTGGCAATTCTATCTATGGGTTCTGAAATCCAGGACATCTCCGGAGACTGGAATGGGAAGGTTTGGGCAAGCAGGGCAGGTCAACCCTGGTTCTGGCCACCTGTCCCCTTCAGGAAGGCCTCTTCCCCAGCTGGGGCAGTAGAGGGGGACCGGCCAGGGGCTGTGGCCTAAGGGCGGGTTCTGGGTTCCACACGCACCTGAACAGGGGCCCAAGCTGGAGCAGGTGCATGAGCAGCACCAGTGGCCGATCGCGGCTGAGGTCGCGGTGGACGAAGAGAAGCGTGAACTGCACCAGAGCACAGGGCATCAAGGAGAAGAGCAGCGTCAGCGCCTGCCACATGCGGTCCCCATCAGAGCGGTAGGTGCTGCTCAGGTAGAGCGCCGCTATCGTCTCGGCCACGAACAGGAACAGGGACGCTAACACCAAGGCCTGGAATTTCATCTCCGTGCCTCAGAGACTCGCCCGGCGGGTGGCGGCGGCGGCAGCGGCGGCGGCAGTGATGGTTCACCGAGCGGTTCCCAGCATGCCCGGCCCCGAGCCGCCAGCACGCAGCGTAGCCCGCCGAGGGCACGCGGGCCCGGCCACAAGCCCCAAGCAAGCCTGAGCCCAGCCTGGGGGCAACCGCCACAAGGGGGTGGGGCGGGCAGCATGGCTCCGCTCGGACACGCCCACGCGCACTGTGCGCAGCCACCAGCGCGCACCACAAGCTCATGGAGGCGCTGGGGACACTGTTCTGGGCGGGTCGCGAACCCGCGCCTTCTGACCACAGCTGCCTGAGCACGCCTGGAGGCCGCCAAGCCAGCTGGCCCGCGCGCAGCCTCTGGGTCCTAGAGTCCGTAGGTCTAGGCTGTCTTGAATGCTTGCTTTAAAAGCAGCAGAAACCAGAATTGGGGGTGAGGGAGTCTGAATTCCTTCCTGATCCACAATCCGTCTGGTTTCACGGACGGTTTTCAAGTCTGGTTTTCACTAATAAGGAAGCAGTTTCCAGACCCACACACACCTACCTCTGTTGGTATGCCAACCCCTAAGGCTAACACAATTCTTTTTCGCTCAACTGTTTATTTTAAAAACCTGAATACAATATATTTCAACGTATTCTTTCCCCTATCCTACTCTCCCATCCTTCCAAGAACCAAACTTTATGCTATCTGTCACAAAAATACCTAAAATAAAAAACAGTAAGACAAAAAAAAGTCAAAATCAGCAAAATGAAACAAAAAGTACAAAAATAATTTAAAAAAAAAAAAACAACCAACAAACATGGAGTCCATTTTGTGTTGGCCCACTACTCCTGACCATGAGACCTGCCCTGGAGCGTGGCTGGCAGGTACTCACTGACACTCAATCGCAAAAACAGAACATATCAACTGCAAATATCTTCTTGGTTGGAGGTTGGAATTTGTGTCTACGTCCTTTTATCAGTGCTGGGATTTTGTCTGGTTTTACCCTGTACACATCCTGTGTACCCACTGAGTTTTTCACAACCTTCTATACATCAAGATGGACACCCCACCTCCCACAGACACAGACACACACACACACACACACACACACACACACACACACACACACTCCTCCACACCTTCTAAGATAATTTTCCATGAAGAAGCCTAGGCAGTTTGGACGCTCACCTTACTAGACCTGGATGGAGGTGGGAGGTCCTTGGACTTCTCACAGGTCAGGGAACCCTGATTGCTCTTCCAGCTGATGAGGGAGGGGGACTTGATGGGGGGAGGGGGAGGGAAATGGGAGGCGGTGGCGGGGAGGAGGCAGAAATTCTTAATAAATAAATAAATTTTTAAAAAAATTAATAAATAAATAAATAAATAAATAAAAATAAAAAAAAGAAATTGGATGATTTTAATTTTCAGGCATCTTGGGCATTTTACTATTTTGGAAAATGATGTAAATATAAACAAGATGTAAAGATTCGTAAGATCTCCACAAGAACGAAGAGAGGTGTGGACAAGTTGAGTCGTTTGACTTGGTTGTTGAAGTGACCTCAGAAAATCTATTTATAATGGTTGAAGGAGAATTGAGCCAAGGCCTGAGAAGTACCAGGCCCTTTCTCCAAAAGGATTACGAATGCCTATTTATAGAGACCAGCATGCCACCACGTCCTGGATCCAGATACACACAGTCACAAACAGAATCACCAGCAGTCCTCCACGGTGTATTTGTTTAATATTTTATTTGATACCATCATTAGCTTTAAAGGGTAACTAATGAGTAGCTACAAATAATTAATTAGAACACAATAACGGTTTAGCATCAGATCTTAAGGCAAAGGATTATCACAGGTTTTACATTATTAAGTGGACCGTGTTGTGGAGCAGCGGTGCAATAAGCCAGCAACATCACTTTAAACAATAAAGTGCAGTTTATGGCAGATTATTTTCTACAGTACAAAACTGATACAGAAAACACATTGGAAAGATCACAGTGTTTTTGATATTATAACAGCAGCTAAAAAATAGTAAGGTGCATCACTAAGTTTCTAAGTCAGTCTTGCTTCGGAAGAGATGGCATTACACCAGGCAGTGGACTGTAAGCAACCCCCCCCCCCTCCGTGAAGCTGAAGCAAATTCAACTGACAATTGTCGTCCCGCTCCAGGAACAATAGATAACAAAAGCTAAAATCTGATGAGCATTTATAAGTTGACCTTTCCGAATTATCACTTGTCATTTTATCAGTCAGATGAACATATACATTTACAACTTAGTTTCTCTACCCTACATTTAAATGGATTTTCATTAAAAATCAATGTCAGATATTGCATCATACTTCCTCACTAAGACCAAAATACCCACTGTGATTTTTTTAAAAAAATATGTGTACTCAGTAATAGACTTATAGAAAGTGATGTTTGGGTATAATAATATGTAATAGGCCAGAATACTTGATAATTTTGTTTTATTATAAAATATCATAGTATAACATTTTGTAATATAGTAAAATGATTAGCAAAATGTTCTGCACTAAGATTAGAACTGCTCCTGATATATCTTTCAAACCCCTCAAAGTACCCCTACAGACATATAAGAATTAGCAAGAAGTCAAAGAACTTGATTTTGGCAAAAAGGCATTTTTACAAAGCCTCTCAATTGGTGTGCAAGTATTTCAAAATTCTTGTCATATACAACAGATAACTGGTGTTGAATTTAATGTTAATAAAAATTAAAAGAATTTTAAAGTACTAATAACTAATTCCTATCATTTGGTTTATTTTTTATAATTTTGCTTTATTCGTAATTGGTGGAGAAATACAGCAAAGAGCGCAACTTTATTAATAATACTAATTTATCGAGCACATCTTTAAACTTCAATAGTACATTAAATTGTGGCGCTCCTTTACTGTTAGGTGCAATTAGGAGTAAGTTGTTATACTATATTGACAATTTCCTATTTGGGGTATTGCCTCAAAAGATTATGGAATTGCACTGGTTTGCTGCTTATGAAATGTACCATCAGGAAGATTAACTTTGTTTTAACCCAATGATGATACAAACATATTTTTTTAAATATTGCAAATTGTGCAAAAATGAAAACCCTTTTGGTGAAGTAGATTCTATTCACTCTAGTATGTGATGTTTGACCAGTCCCTAGTTATTTATGGCTTCTCAACATGGTTCACTGATTTCTACAAAATCCATTTTAAAAATTCTGTTAGTTTGGTGCCACTACATCCAAGAGACTGGAGTGGCCTATACCAGATCCTGAGACCAAACTATTATTCTTACAGTGTTCCATTCTTACTGCTGGGACATCTCTATAATACAAATAATACTGCATTTTCAAGAGCAAAAGGAGTTTACCGCTGCTACAGTCTTCAGAAGACACCTCTAATATTAAAAGCCCTAAAAGATACAAGACTGATTATTTGAAGCAATATGCTTATTTGAATATATCTATATATAAGTATTACCACATTCAACTTGAATCAAATTTAATGACACAATTTATTTTACTGGTAATTGCCACTTACACACAGACATCCCACTAAAATATGCTGTAATAAGGTCATTTGCTAAAGACAGTAGACAAGTATAGATTTTATGCCTTTTTTATACTGATTGCTAAGTCACAGCTATTTCACACACAATACAAGATTATACACTGAGGAACACATCACACAAAATATATGAAGAAAATTTCAGTAGAACTGCATTATTCTATATGAAGGAATTCTGTTTACACATACACACAGGTGTTTTACCCATCTCCATTCTTTTGGAGTGCTCATTGAAAGCATAACACAAGGGATCGTATTGGGGTACTTCAGGAAGACCTTTAAGACATAAATCTTCAGCTACTTTCAATTTAGTAAGTGAATATTCCATAACAAAAGTGGTATCTTGCCTTTCAGGTGATTCTGAGTACAAAGATAAGTCTGCTTCATGTGTCATACAATTCGCTGGCCCTCCTTCCACCCCAATGCAGAACAAAAACACAGATTTGGTTTTCCATTTAAGTAACTTTTCAAAGTTGATTCAGAATGGGTGAATAACAGGTACCCCCAAAGGAAATGAAGACGCAGAGAATCCTGAAGATGAGAGACTTTGTCATTTGTGAAGGGAACTAGATGGAAAGGACAAGGTTCAATATTTAAAGATAAAAATGAATATTCTTTTAAATCTTAACAGCATCACCCATTAGGTCCCAATTTATTAACACTTTCAATTTATAAAATAAGGGGAGAGACTTTGTTCGTGTAGGAACTACTTTGGTTTTTGTCTTTTATGACATAATAAAAGACATAAAAACAATATGGCCAGTCCTGTTTATGGATTAGAAATAAGATACATGTGGCCACTACCTTATTCTCATTGCACAGGCACTCTTGTGGCAGCTTGCCCTGTACTTGTGATCTGACTACAGAATAGTCCTAATTCTGGTTGCAACTGACCTCGAGGTCAGCCCTTCTGTCTAAAGTAGAATCAAGTCTTGTTGAGCCCCATGCTCTTAGCTAAGGACAGATGTGGACAAAGATACAGAGGAAGCCTGCCTTCGTAGGAGAAGAGAGGTCATGTGTGTGATTAAACAGACATAGGGGGTAAAAAATCCATTATCAGAATGAGATGTTTAGAGACACGTGATGACACATGCTGACTTGAAGGTGAATTAGGATTAAAGAGATTTCAGTAAGCAAAAACAAAAAGGCCCAGTGGTAAGGCTATACTTGTTTAGTCTCATTAAATGCACATGTACAAATTATCTTCAGATATCACGCTTTGGTAAGCAACCCCCAAGCCTGATCCTGTCTTCTAGCTTGCCTTTCTCTAGCCAAATTTATGCTAAGATCACATGACCTTGGTAAATTTGAGGGTTAGTCATCCCAGCTATTAATTTGAGACATAATAATTTAAAGGAGGCTTCACAAGCAGCATAATTCTATTCCTACAGGTAACACACTTCTGATGACCAAATTAAAAAAAATGCAGATCAAAATCAGTGTTAAATTATGCTATTTCCCAATTCATTTTTTGCTATATAGTTATGGCCTGGATGTTCCTTTTCTTCAGTTATTGGCAACAGAATCCTTTATTTTCAGTCAGCAAAATAAATATTTGTGTTAAAGAGAGCGTCTAGACTATACCACCCATTCCTCTGGAGGAAATTCTTTCAAGTCAGAACCTTCTGAGGCACAAACACCACAGTCAGAATTGGTAGTGGAATATAAAATATATAGTTACCCTTCTAGTGTTCTGGGCCCCAAACACTGCATCTTCATGTGAAATGTGTTTGTTTAGTTTTTAAATATAAACTGAGCATAATTTTATGTGCACATAGTAGGAACCTAAAACATAGAAGCCTTTTTAAATAATAAAGAACCCATATTGACAAATAACTCCTATGACAACTGTATGAATTAGGCAAGGTACCTAACTATATAAAATACCCCCCAAAAAGTGTCAGAACAAGGATTTAGGATTTCTAACATGGTTCTCTTGACATTACTACTTCCTTTTAATTGTGTCTTTTCTTTGATGATTTGTTCTTAACACTGGGACTACGGCCTAGGGCAGCATGCATGCTAGAAAGGTGTTCTACTATAGAATTACATCCTCAGCCTGTGTATACTTTCTTAGCCTGGTTATATATCCCAAACTCATATTTTTTGCATTGAAATTACTGAGATATACTCTCTACAGAAACCAAAACACGGGGAGGAGGCGGAAATTTTTTCAATAAAAAAAAAAGAAAGAAACCAAAACAATTTGCATAACACTTTGATTAAAATCTCAAAGAAAACTAAAGAAGTAAAAAGAAGAGATGGGATTTACTAGAGAGCAAGTAAGCTGTTCTATGTAATGAATTGTCATAATTGAATACTATTATCTTAACAACATGGTCAATTGCCTGGAAAAAAGTCAGTGGGAAATATACACTGTCAAGCTTCTGTTCTCTTCAAATACCAGGTTACAAACTGAAAAGATGTAATGTGGCAATGAGATAGGGTAAATTAAATATAGACAGTTAAGGGTAGAAAGAAAGGCAAGTAACTGTGTTAATGCCACAAAGCTACAGTGTTTTACAATATATTGCTATTGAAGTATAATGCGTCTCCTTCCTTATTGTTAAGGCTCTTTCAAAGTATCCTCAAACATCTCCACTCAGCATTCAGGACTGATTTTGTCCCATATAGTAAATAGCATGATAGCATGAACAGTAAGAGCTGAAGGGATGGCTTGGCGGTTGAGAGCATGGAGCTCCACCCCACTTTCTGGGAACCCAAGTTGGATTTCCCTTCCCAGAATTCACATCGGGTGGCTCAGAGCCGTCCATAACTGTAGTTCCAGCACTATTATGCACATATCCACACATGTACTTGTAATTAAAAATAATAAAACTGCCACAGTAGCCTTCATGCTTTAACATTAAGAATGTTACTACACATGAAATTGATTATGAAATAAATGACATGACTTAATTTCCTGCTGAAAATATGTGTCTTTCATCCCTTTCTTGGGAAAGTAATATAGAAGAGGACTCTCTAACTAGCGGTGCTTGTCTTTCAGGAAAATGGAAATGATAGGCTTAACAGCCAAAAAAAAAGTGTAGCCTTGTTTCAAATTTACTGAGATGGTACTTCAGAAAGACCACACCCAAACATGACCCCTTTTTAGACATGATATACAAAAATAGCAAGCTTTTCACAATGATCAGCACAAAGTTACGGTCACTCTATTGTATCTTTAAAAGATAGGTTCAGTTTTTCTAAAGCTCCTGGAAACATAACAGATACAACAAAGCTATGTGTCATTTCCTAGTCCTTTGGTTTTCTGGTCCACATAATGAATGATGGAAGAGGTGGGCAGATTTTTAAAGGAGGTTCCTTTGAGAGAGGGGCGGATTTGTCTACTGCAATGTTGGCATATTTCTAATCTAGAATACTGAATAAATGAACCTGAAAGGAGAAACCAGACTTCGAATCCTTGTTTTGTTCCCTCCTAGCTCTGTCTTTGGGGGGACCACCTAACACACATTGAGGGGCTGCTCAGACACAATGAAAGCATGTATTCCTTTATTGTAAAAGGCCTAATTCTGCCTGGTTATCATTAGCCTGTAGGGCCCATGCCAAAGGCATTTTAAATGAGATGTTGTAGGAGCTGTCACTGGTCCTTTCAGAAGGAGAACATTCTGTAAACAGAATCTTCCTTAGGGCTTCCAAAAGGTGCTTGCCCTCCTCAAGAAAGAACTTCTGGAATCGAATTAAGTTTTACTCCAAACAGTATTTTCACAGATGGGCAATTAAAGCCAATTTTATATGTTGAAATATGAGGGTGTGAAATGGGACCATAAGCCAACAAGGTACATATTTTGCAAAATTCATTTTGTCCCAGCTTGTGTTAACGATTGTAAACATGCAAAGAGTCATAAAATATAAAAAGACAAGTTCTTTTCTTTGGTAAGATTCTTTGAGAATCTTATGAATACAAGAGATCCTCTTTTTCAAAATAGGATCACACATATAACATTCATACAAACCCATACAAATCCATTGGTTCATACTGCTCCACAAGCCAGCACACACAGAAATATTTCTAGGCAGTAACTCCTCCCAAAGTCTATCTACAGTTCAAATAGTGCTTCAAATTATATGGTATTAAATGTATCATGTACACATATGTACCTATGTATATCCAAATAGCTAATGACTATTGAAACAATGACATCTTATACAGCATAACAGTTTTCTTTAATATGATGTTTGAACTTCAGTGGTTAAATACCGGGACTGTGGTAAACTCATATTCTCTGTATGGAAGTGACAGTTGCTTCTATTAGTGTTTAGCAATCCACTATTGGCTTGAAGTATTTTTATAACCTTTGTTATTAGCAAAAGTAAACTTAATATGATAACTAAAATCAACTGGTATGATAGTAAAGCTCTAGCATGTCCTTTGTTTTGCAAGGTAAGGTGACCAGCCAGGGAGTCCATTCCGCTCTTAATCTAATAGGATAAAATAGAATAACATTCATTCGATAACCACTTCTATTTTCCTCATTCCATGTCTTTCATGGTATTCTATGAAATATGAAAATGACTTACCTTTGTGGTAGTTACCCTGATCTTTGAGATGAGTGATTTTCACCGAGAGCATATTTTACAGTCTAATAGCTTCATAGAGATTACAAAGATGAAGGCATTTGAAGAATTACTAACATATACAATATACAGGTCACACTTCAAGTTGAGACAAACACATGACAACAACACTTATTTGCTAGATAAGAATTTCCCTGTCTTCTTTTTTGTTTGTTTATGGTACTAGGCATGGAACTAGGGCCTTGTGCAAGCTAAACAAGCCACACCCCTAAGCTACTAAGCTTAGGCTGCCACTAAAATTACACTCCTTCCTGCCCGGAATCTCACTATACTGAGCTCTAGGAAAGAAAACAAAACTAGGGAAAGAGATATTCTAAGACCCAAGGAAGCTTGAAATTTCAGTGTTTAAAATAAGTTATGATATGATGTTTTTAAAGTGCCCATGATAGTGATTTAAAAAATACCCACATGCATATTCAAATATCTCCACTCAAAAAAAAAATCATGAACTTCAGCAAGCAAAGGCCTAGGACAATCAAGGGTTTCTTTTCATGTCCTTCACCATGACACTTGATCCCTGCTAACAGTTTTTAAGAGGGCAAAATTATTTTACATATTTTAGATTATTAAGATTGTCTTCACTTCTAAATTTAAGGGTGGAGGGTATAGACAGATGGTCAAATTTGCTCTCAAGTTTTCAAAGGGTTGCCAGTCTATCCCCATCATCTCCAGTTCACTTTTGCCTTCAGTGTCATGAACTGGAAAACATTATTTTCCTTTTGCTTTCTCTCGATCTTCGGTTTTACATCTCTCCCCTGAAACATCAAATCTGTGATTTTTAGATGAGTTGTGGCATCTTTGCTTGGCAGGCTCTCTCTCCAGTCTGGTATCACGCTGCTTCATCAGGCTGAGCTCATCCTTCTGGCAGCAATGTGAAGGCTCATAGTTGTGATGCCATTGGATGTGGATTATGTGGGAAACTGCCTAGAGGAGGCCCAGGAAATCTCAGGGGACTTCTGCCAGGATGCAATGGGAGATGGAGCCTTTAAACAAAGACGCTGAAGAGAGGGAATTCAGCCTGATTGGGCTGTAGCAAATCAATGAGAAAGCAAACCGTGCCAGAGAAGCCTTCATACAAGCTATATATGCTTTCAAGGACCCATGAACCAGCTTTGAATTCTTCAGTGAACAAGAATTGTGCAAACCTAAGAGAAGAAGAAAGCACGAACAGATTTAATATGACTGTGTCCATGTGACCTGCTACAGGATGCTCTTCTTCTTTTATGAAGTTAAAGTTTTAGTGTCAGGTTGTTTTCAGAATTATGTAATTAATTTGAGAAAACTCCATTCTCTAGAGAAAAAAAAGATCAGTTATATAAGTCTTTGTGTTTTGCAACAGAGTTTGTTGCCAAACAAATCCAACTATTTTTAGGAGCTGCTAATCAAAGCACATTGGAATTTTCTGAGATTCTATTCCTTCCACTGTCCAATAATTATAAGTGAAAAAGTCACATAAATCATCCTACTTTTGTTTATCTTGAACCAAAGCAAACTTATATATCACTGTTCCTTTTTTAAAAATCTAAATATTTGTGTTTCTGGAAGCATATTATTTCTGAACTCGGTCTCATTTATATGTGACAGAGCACAGAGGCTGAAAATAAATGTGAGGGTTTTACACAATCTGCTTTGGGCAACAAAGGATGAAGATGAATGGGAGAATGCAAGCAACTTTTCATAATGGTGCCATCAAATAGTAAATTCAACTATGAGGCATTGCTCTTAAGACAATTTGCCTTTAAAATAAGTCACTGATCTCTAAAATTTTGGTGAAAAACATTTTTCTTTGACTTTCATTTTCTTATTTAAATTAACTAAACAACATTGTATAGTAGTCTCCAGCCTTTCCAATGCTCTCACCAATATCATGGTTTTTAACTATCTTATTCCTTTGTCATCATCAACAAAAATATTCTCCAATTCTGATGCTGGTGAGGCCTGAGAGTTTGTACTGTCATAAAGTTAGATTATTACAGCCACCACAGGAGTCCTATCAAGAGTAATTACTCATTAGGTCTTTTGTGGGCCATTGAAACTATTGCAGGCAGCTTAAAATAAATGAGGAAATAAATTGCAATTCCACTTGTTACTGATTTTCTATCAACTGTTTTCTTAAATATGCAGTCATTTAAATAAGAGTTTGCACTTCTAAACAGCAAAGAATTATTAATATTAAGAATTGAAGAAAGTGTGGAATATCTACACATTAGAGTACTACACTGCAGTAAAAAACAATGACTTCTTGAATTTTGCATGCAAATGGATGGAAATAGAAAACACTATTCTGAGTGAGGTAACCCAGACCCAAAAAGATGAATATGGGATGTACTCACTCATAATTGGTTTCTAGCCATAAATAAGGGTCACGGAATCTACAATTGGTGATCCTAAAGAAGCTAAGTAAGAAGTTGAACCAAAGGAAAAACATATAGTTATCCTCTTGGCTATGGGAAGTAGACAAAATTGCGGGGGAGAAAATTGGGATCTTGGGGGTGGGGTGGGATGGGGGTAAGGGGAGATGGGGAGAGAAAAGTGACAAGGGGAGGATGGGGGGAACTTGGGGAAAAAGGAAGATTGGGATAAAGGAAGGTAGGATAGGGGAGCACGGAAGCACAATTCTTAGTTAAGGGAGCCACCTTAGGGTTGGCAAGAGACTTGAACCTAGAGTGGCTCCCAGGAGCCCAAGCCGAGGTCCCCAGTTAGTTCCTTGGGCAGCTGAGGATAGGGAACCGGAAATGACCCTAGCCTCTAGCAATACTGACGAATATCTTGCATATCATCATAGAACCTTCATCTGGTGATGGATGGAGATAGAGACAGAGACCCACACTGGAGCACTGGACTGAGCTCCCAAGGTCCCAATGAGGAGCAGAAGGAGGGAGAACATGAGCAAAGAAGTCAGGACCACGAGGGGTGCACAGTGGAGCTGATCTACTGGGAGCTCACCAAGGCCAGCTGGACTGTGACTGAAAAAGCATGGGTTAAAACTGGACTCTCTGAACATGGCGAACAATGAGGGCTGATGAGAAGCCAAGGACAATGGCACGGGGTTTTGATCCTATGCAATGTGCTGGCTTTGTGGGAGCCTAGCCAGTTTGGATGTTCACTTTCCTAGATATGGACAGAGGGGGGAGGACCTAGGACTTACCACAGGGCAGGGAATCCTGACTGCTCTTTGGACTGGAGAGGGAGGGGGAGAGGAGTGGGAGGAGGGGAAGAAGGATGGGAGGAGGGGGAGAAGGGTGGGAGGAGGGGGAGGGAAATGCGAGGCTGGGAGGAGGTGGAAACTTGTTTTTTTTTTCTTCCTTTTCTCAATAATAAAAAAAAATGAAAAAAAAGAATTAACTCAATATGTATAATTACATATAAATAAGTTTATAAATTATTATTTAGAAGTAATAATTTATAAATGATGAGGTTTTCTTAGCTCAGTGTTTTTTATAGAACCATTAGGCTTTTATATGTACTGTACCCAATATTGTCCATTCTTTTTAGTTCTGTAATTACCATTCAGGCTCCCATTTTAGCTGAGAATTATTGAGAAAAATGGTTAATTTGATTTGGGGAACAGTGAGTACATTTTTGACACAACAGTTTTCATTTTACTACTGATACCATTTTCAGAAATGAGTAATGTATATATATGCAAAGATAAAACTTAGAAATGATAAAACTCAAATTTAGTAATAACAAAAGTTAATCTTTACATAGAAGTTATATATTCCAGGCATTATTTAAAATGATTTTCTTGTATTTATTTGCAAATTTTTTATAATAAAGTTTTAAAAACTTAAAAAATAAAATAATTTTCATGTGTTAACTTATTTAAACCAGCCAACACATCTGAGAAATGGGCACTATTTCACATAACCAATATGATTCTGGGTATATCCTTTCAAAAGGATTCTCACAACTATGAGGGACCACTCTTTGGCCTCGACTAAATGACAACTCAGATACAAGAGAATCAAATCATATGGGGGGTGTGGCTGAAAAGCCTCCTAACTTATCAGACATAAGTGCCACCCAGAACACCAAGACCTCTTCTGAGGACCTACACAGACAGCTTGCACATGCCTTCAAAGGGACTGCTCAGTTTCCTACCAGTTTATTTATAGTCTATTCATAGTCTTTCTGACACAGCATATACAGTTAATCAGTATGGAGTTATTTCTATTCAAAACAATGCTGTCTGCTCTACATCTGGTTTCCATATGTATCAACGCTTCAGGGAATAAACTACAGAGACTAATTTAGGAATTTACTTGCTAACAAAACAAAGGTAATATCCACTACAGAAGCAAGAGAAGAAACAAGAGACATGGTAACTATTAATAGAAATTAGGAATTAGAAATTATTTCCCTTCAGTTGCAAGGTCTGGAGGTTCACAGTGTAAGAAATTAGTAACCCATGATGACTCTGCCTCCTGCATAGGCAACTTCCCTCCTACACAGAAGGCAGGAAAGAATAATCTATTCATACAGGGTAAAAGGCAGCACTGTTTATAATGAAATTATTGGAAACTGGAGTCAAATATTCTTGTTTTAGTAAGACTAACAAAAATGTTAGACAAGGCCCTTTATGTATTCATATAGCATAATCAACAAGATAACAAGGCACTATCATTTGTATAAGAAAAACAAAATTTGATATATATTCCCATATTTGCAGACAACAACTTGGGAAGTCACACCAGACAATATCTCCAGGGAAGTCAATTAAATGGCTGGGGGGGGGGGATGATCGTTATGCTATGCTCCTTTTTATTACACATTTGAAACCAGGGGACTATATTACCTGCTTAGAAAATCAATTAGATTAAGATTTCAAAAATTAGAACTCAGAATGTAGTAGACAAATACTAGCACATAAGAAGCTCTGGTTTTAATCCTTAGCACCTCATAAAATGGTGTGGTAGTGTACATCTGTAAGTTTAGAACCTGCAAAACTAAAGAGTCAGGAATTCAAGGTCGTTGATCACTATATAGGGAATTTAAGACCAGCCTAAGACACAAAAGATCTTGTCTCAAGGGCAAAAGGGATTTGTAAGAATATGTGCATGAAAACAGCTGACCTTTGAGCACGGTAGATGTATTTGGAGTTTCCTGTAAGACGGTATAGCAGAAGGAAGACATAGGCACTGCCGGCTACACCATGGCAAATCCCTGGCCCCTTCTTCAGTAGGCCTTTCTGCCATGTTAGCTCCCCACAGCGTATGCATGTATCCAGGTACTGTGGTTTCTTGGAAACAAGATAAGCTTTGGCAAACAGATAAGCAATTCCTGTAAAAACATCAATGACAATAAGAGGTGACTTTCAGGACTTAATAACATACTTCTCAAAGGTGTACACCTCCTGAATCCCCATCCAGTGTCTTTTGTTTTTACATTCCTAGCTACATTTCCAAAGAGAAGACTTCTAAAGCACGGCAACTAATATGACCCATTATCCCATAGAAGTTCAGAATTTGCAATGTTTATATATTTATAACAATACCCGTTTGCTTAAGAGCAAAGAAGGAGCCTTTCCAGGAATAACAGTGCAATCAGACAACCTCAATAAGATGTCTACTCCAGCTTTGAGGTTAGCCCTTCCCATATTTCATGTTCCACGGAAATAAACATTCTTTCGAAACTTGCCAGTACAGAAGCAAGAGCAGAAACAAGAGACATGACAACTATTAATTGAAATTATTTTCCCCAAGTTGCAAGGTCGGCCAGTCCATAGTGAAATTAATAATCCAAGATGACTCCAGCTCCTACATAGCCTACTTTCCTCCTTGCCAGAAGGCAGGAAAGGGCTAAGAGACTAGCACAGTGGTAGAAGGCTTGTCTAGCGAGTGTGAGGCGCTGGGATTTGTGCCTAGCACCCTCCAAAATTATATTTTTAAAGTGGAAACAATGGCCTTGAATAGAATAAATGTCTTGATGGGCTCACCCACTAAAATTTAGGTAGACACTGTGACTAAAATAAGGCATGGGCCCATGCTGCTGTCAGCAAAACTAGAGATCAGACAAGTGAAAACCATCCTGATGGAAACAGTCAGGGGAGGCCTTGGATGGAAGCTGGCGTTTTCTGGGGTTTGTAGGCTACATAAGAAACGCCAGGCCCAAGACGAGGCAGGGAAAACATATTAGGCACCAAAGATCACAGAGGCTAAGAGGTTCAAGACATCTAAGTTTAAACCACAAGTCAGGGTGGCAGCATCCTAACCAAGGGACCAGGACGGTAAAAGAGTAAGAATGAGTTCAGATTCTGGATGGTATGATAGTTTTGTTAGGCATTTTAGACTGTATACTGTGGGTGATAGGGAACTACTAGAAGTCTTTTATTATGAACTGGTTGGTTTTGATTTTTGAATAACAATGTGATTGTTCGTACATAGTATTATGAGGAAACACCTAAAGAAAGACAGAAGAGCTCCGAGCTAGCTTTGTTAGCGGAAAAATGGAGATGAAATTTGCCGAAGAATAATTTCATAGGACATAGTGACTGTTTAGACCAACTGAGCATGAACTATATGGCAGAGGCTGATTTTAAAAGGCCTCTGTCTGAACCTAGACAAAGAGGACCCTAAGAGAGACATATGTGGATCTAATCTACATGCGAAGTAGAAAAAGACAAGATCTCCTGAGTAAATTGGGAGCATGCAGACCATGGGAGAGGGTAAAAGGAGAGGGGAGTGGCAGGGAGGGGAGCAGAGAAAATGTACAGCTCAATGAAAATCAATAAAAAAAGGCCTCTGTCTTTAATGGATTTTATAGCTTAATCTGGAGGTGCAAACTAGGCTATGTAACAACAAATATAGTTATGGAAACACACAGGAAGAGTCCCTGCTGGTGGGAAAGGCCTACTAGACTATCATCTTATAATTGAGTTCTGGATGATGAGCAGTAATCAATGAGGTAACTGACTCAGCTTCCCTTTATCTTATCAGGAAACAGACCACGCCTGAATTCTTTTAACAGCTGGCTGCTAACACACGTCCTGGATTCCTGCCTTTAGAGATTGCCCCACAGGCAAACAGAAAATTGTATCAAATACTCAGCCCTCTGGAGCTATCATGGAATACAAAAGTCTACTACTCCCTTGCCTGAACACAGAACCAAACTTTCAGTGGATCTTGTGCCTATTAACATCCCTCAGAATCAGACAGAATAAAGCCAGTCTCCATGAAAGCCATTTCTCTGGCTTTTATTAGCTTCTTTGTCCAACAACCCTTGGCCTAGTAGGTTCCCTTGAGAGTACAGCCTGCTTCCAGACACACAGAAAAGAGTGTGTTAGGTGGAAAGTGGTTGAGCCAAGGAAAAGCCAAAGGGTTCCCTATTATACGGGCACCATAGCATGATACAGAAAGCCCTTCATGAACAACATCCTGTTCTGTCCGCTAGCTGCTTCTTCATTCCTGGACTGAAGTTTCTGACTTTCATAAAACCAGACTACCTACAGTGCTCCAATGCTACTGAGTGCCTGTTATTCTTGGAAGAAGCCTCCTGTATTTCCTGGCACAACTCAACTCAGAAATCACTTTCTTTAGGAAGCCTTCACTGAATCTGGAGGCAGCATGAGAAATCTCTCTTCTTGGATCCTATCTCACACTATATATAATGTAGCACTTATACATAACCAAATTTAAACTATCTGTTTCCATGTCTGCCTCCCCTGCTCTAAGGCAAACCACTAAAGGGCAGGAATTTTTATCATATTCCTTTTCTTTTCTCCTCATCTGGTGTGGTGCTTTGCTACCAAATAGTTCCACAAATGTCTGTTGATCCTGCAATACCTCATTTAGCACCCTTGCACAGTGGTTCTCAAACTGTGAGCCTCAAACCCTTTCACAGGGATTTCATATCAGATACCCTGCATATCAGATATTTGGATTACCCCTCATAACCATTTCAAAATGACAGTTATGAAGTAGCAATGAGAATAAGTTTATGGTTGGGATCACCACAATGTGCGCAATTGTATCAAAGGGTTGTAGTTTTAGGAGAGGTCACCACAACGTGCGAAACTGTATCAAAGGGTTGTAGCATTAGAAAGGTTGAGCACCACTGATTTAGTGGAAGCTGGCACTAGAAGCAGAGCAGAGATGTATAAAAGAAGATAGACTGAGATGATTTCAATTGCTATATCAAGCATTAGCCCCAGATAGTAAAAAAAAAAAAAAAAAAGCTATGGATCCTAGGGCTCTGGACAGAGTAGGGCCTTGAACATATTCTAAATTTGTTAGCACCTACTCTGACCTAATGGAAACCATCCTAACGCTTCTGATTCTTAAAGGAAAGGATGTCATGTTTCTTTGACTGCGATGGGAATTAGCACAGCTCTTTCCTACGACCACTAATTAGTCTTCAATGATATAAAACAGAAGTCAGTGATGGTAGATGACTTTGCCAAATACAACCAGGAAATTAAATCACAACTTAATAAAGATGGTTTGGGGAGACGAAATCTTTGAAATGTGGGGTCTTCAGAGACTTGTGACAGATAGAATACACTACTTCAACATACTGGAGCATCACCACCCAGGTTCATGCTAGGATGTGTAATTTTGTTGAGTCATTACAAACTTAACTACCAATCTGTGCTCCAGGAGCATTGCTCTTTATTCAAAGTCACCTACCCAAGAGCCTTAGTGGAATGAAATTTCAAAACTGCTCACACCTGTGTTTCACACAGAATAAAGGAAGTGCACTGTCAGTGTTATCAAAGTAATGCTGTAACCTGATGCAGCCAGGAAGGTTATTTTAGCCACAGCATTTGTTTTAATGATTCTGCAAATGACTTCCATCCTGTATTTCAGAGTTATCAAGGTTATGAAAGGATCACATGAGTCTTCCTGCAATACTTTATTGTATTTAAGAACACAAAGCTACATGTCACTGTAGGTATTTATAAAAGCATCTGAGATACTTCCCTTAGGAATGGCAAAGGTCCAGATGTGAAGATGTGTCAATGATGACAAAAATACTGAGATTCACTACTCCACTTCAGCATACTCATTTCAGATTTTTTTTTAAAAAAAAAGAGATTTTTTTTCATGGTCACTTGTTAGAGTTACAATTAGACCCCAGGGTTGCTCATCTATAGTCAAGAACTAGTTATGTATTTCATACCTAATATCTAGGGTAGTCACTTGTAGAGGTGAGCTGAAAGAAAGCCCATAGGAAGCTAAGGTGTGAATAAGGTAGCATTAATGAAGTTCCACACTATAGATTATCTCTGGCAGATTTTTAATCATAGGAATGGTCTGTCATCCCAAACCATCTGTGCTGTTCACAAATCTGTTCTCAAAATTTTTCTCAAATAAATAAAATTATTTTTTTCTAGGCCATTTCCTGTTGAATTTGGAGAGAAATTTCTTGTAGTCAGCTTCAGTGAGATCTTGACTGTCTCTGACTTGCAATGACCAGTTTTATAATCACTATTAGGTGAGGGCTGAGGTAAGCAGAAATAACGACCTTATTTAATTAGCTAATCGGTTTCTTTTTCATACTCTGGTGACTACATGGACTTAGTTTTGATTTGAAGCAATATATTTATGTTACTCTTCTTAAAACACTTAGAGTGAATGTTACAGGAGGGTAAATAAAGTCTCCAATGTCATGAATCCTATCCATGACCTGCTGAAACAGATGGCATTTGGTATTCAGAAAGGGTACAATAACAGTCATTTAAACACCTACTTCAACAGGCTCACCCACTCATTTTAGTAGATTTCTTTCTACTCTATTAAGGGCTTTTACTAGCATACTGAGTCCTTTTAAAATAGTCTATATTTAATTTGGGACATCTCCAGAATTTAGGAATCCTGGGATGCTTGGAGAATATCCAGAGACCACCGCTGAGAATGATTAAGGGGAAGGAGAAATAGAAGTATTGAGTATAACAAGAAACATGATTTCCAGAATGGGAAATAACTGCTGTGTTTTTTCTCCCCAAAAAGGTCAAAGCAAGAAGTAATGGGCACAAATTATACCTGACAGCAACTAGGCCGAACATAATGTACTATGTCTTGGTACTTTTAAAATACACAATTTGCCATTCCTTCCATAGTTAAATGTGGCAGGCAAAGAAAATATGACAGTAGACAGTGACATATTATTCAAACTGTATCAAGGATAAAACAGAACTCTAATTTGATTAGAGAACATTAATTACAGGAAGAAGGGAGGCAATAAAAATCAGGTAACAAGACAAAAATAAATCAAATGCAATTTAAAGTTGTGCTCTTCTGTTTGAAGCACAGCCTGGTAAACTAAATTCATTCATAATCAAAATATTTTGGAAGGGGAGATTATAAAAGCATTATATACACATGAAATTGTCAAAAATAAATTTAATAACTGTATTATTTGATAATTCCAGTCTCCTTGTCAATTAACCGAATTTATTTGTTTGAATTTAACTTCTTTTAAATTATTCCTTCTTCAAAAGGCTAGTTAGTTGTATAATGGGATTTGTAAAACGTGGGATAGAATAGTGAAGTTTTTCTGGGTTCAAGGCTCAATTTCAGAATTCATTGGGGGATGAGTTGTTATTTCATTAGACATTTTATTAATTATTACTGGAAATACTCAGTTGACCAAGAATTTCAAAGCCATGCATCTGAAACTTAAAGATTAACACAAATTTCATAAGGATACTGGTCAAATATACGTTGTAATTCACTGGGTTGTGATAGATCCTAGGATTAGAGATTTACAAGCTGTGAGGCTCCTAGGCATGACAGAGGCCACCACGTAAGTGATCAGGCTGTGGATGTGCACTTTCCAATGTAGCTAAAAAGACTCTAAAATGCAGCATTTGATTATAATGTTACATAACTTTAAAATCAACAGGAAATTTTAAGGATTTCAATGTCTGAAAGAATGTACACTAACATTATTTTTAGTGCTCTGGATTGAACCCAGGTCCTCTGTGTTCCAGGCAAACATTCTACCAGCAGTGCCTTTAGTCCCTAGCCCAGTCATATCTATTTTTAAATTTGTATTCTACTAAAATAATATTTGGGTTACATATTATTAAAATTAATTCTACCCATTTCTTTTTTGCTTTTGAACATGTGGCTACTGATTCTTTTTGTGCATATATTCTGGGACTCAAACCCAGAACGCTGAACATACTCATCACTCGTTCTAGCACTCAAATACCTAATAGTTCAGACTACATATGTGACTCACATTACATTCTGAGGGAGTGCTTGTTTAACACTGTGGATAGAGAGCTGTGTTTTTTTCAACCTGTGGAATGATTTTCAGAAATCCTTTAAAGATCAAGATATTATTTTAGTTTTCAAAAATTTCAGCTTGATAGCTATGGCCCAGGATGAGAAATACCCTCGGATGTCAGAAAAATGAACCTCCCTCTGTGTAAGCTCAGTGAAAGGCAGCCCTGTTTCTGTTTTCAGACAACAGTGTATGCGAGACCTGGAGCACCGTGGCACCAGTGGACCAGTTCATTCTCTCTCTCGATCGTTTCTCCCAGCTCAGGTGGCCAGTTGCAATTCTGTTCCTGTTCCATGAGGAAATCCACACTCTGCCACACCAGCTCCCGATCTGAAGGCTTGAGATGCTCGTGGTAAGAAAGAAGCATTTGCAGAATGGATGACAGGCCATGAGCTGCCCCTGTGTGGACAAAGCAAGCATCATTTATCCATCAAGCGAGGTGAGGTAGTTTGATCTAGTGAAAAGAAAATTGTGAGATTTGTTTTACACTAAAATATTATTTAAAAGCACTTATAGTACTATAACAATTGAGTTGCTAAAACCTAAACGAGCAGAAAAGTATAGCTTGCAGCCCAAATCTGACTCACTCATTACTTTTGTAAATAAAGTTTTATTAGAACATAGCCATTTGCACATTGTTCTCTGCTTCCTTCGCATCGTACAGCAGACTTGAATTTGTGACTGAAACCATATGGTCCACAAACCCTAACTAAAACTGTTAAGCTTTTTATAAAAAAAATTTGATCTTATAAAAATATTCCCAAAATGCTTAAGATCAATTTGGTCTTGATATCTTAATAATTCATCAATCTATTTAAAATATAAGTATTAAGCATCTACTATGCACCAGATGCTTTAGATCTTTAGATGCTAAAGATAGATGAGTAAACAAAAGAGGGAAAAAATCCCTTTCTCTTGGCATGAATTCATTGAAGTCTTCACAATGAATACTTGTGTTTTGGACGTTATCTCACCATGGAGACACAAAGATGAATATGAGTTTGCCTATACTCTTGAAGAGACCTCTCCTCATTCAGTTCAGAAAGTGAATCATATTTGAAAAAATTTTTAGAATATAAGTGAAGTACTCTATATAGTAGATTGCAGCAGGAGCATAAGTGAGTCTATGTGGCAACTGAACTGGGCAAGATGGTACCCAGAGATTTTGTTGAACATTATTTCTAGGTACGTCTTTTTGAGTGCTTGTAGAGACAATAATAAAAGTTGAACCTGGCATCGGGTAGTGGTGGTGCACACCTTTAATCCCAGCTCTCTGGAGGCAGAGGAAGGCAGATCTCAGTGAGTTCAAGACCAGCCTGGTCTACAAAAACAGTTCCAGGACAGCCAGGGCTGTGACACAGAGAAACCCTACCTTGAAAAAAAAAAGTTGAACCTATAAAAATGATTAAAGATTTCCCTTGCTAATGTTTGTAGTCCTCACCCACTCATCAAGGCCTGAATGGAACAAAAACACTAAGAAATAATTCTCCAGCTTAGGCATTTGCCTTCTCCCTGGGCCTTAGACTCAGCCTGAATCTTACAATATTGACCTTTTTAGGTCTGGATTTTTCAGCCTTATAATCCTTTAAGCCAGTTCCTTTATTAGTGCTTCATTATTTATACAAATAAACAATATTCATATAAATATTCACATATTATATAACATATACAGCTTAGAATATATATGATGCATATTGTTTAGTCTTACATTAAAACATATTGCATATTATATATGGTAATAATTATTAAAAGAAAGCTTGAGTTTTCAGGAAAGTATTTCCATATTTATCATAAATGTGGTATGTAGTATGTATATCAATGTCCAGAATGTCAATTTATCTTTAAAAAATACTGTTAATGAAAGAACTGTAAAAGACACTGCTCGTATGCTGGCAAACTTTCCACTCAGGTACATCTATTCTCTCCAAACTCTCTACCTTAAATAGTTCTTATTTAGCCTGAATTCTTCTCTGGCCACAGGAATATGCTCAACACATACAGAATTAACACCCCTGGAGCAGCCAACCAATACAGCAGGAAATGCATAGATACATATCTGAACTTCTCAGACTGGGTAAGACAATTATGAGGTATGTCCTATATGTCTTCTAAGAGTCTCCAGGGAAAATGAGTTTGAATATGAAATATTTGCCATACAGTAAATGCTTGTGCTCCAGTGAGTGGCGCTATTTTGGGATATTGTCGAACTGTTGGAATATGAAGCTTATCTAGAAGAAGCACATTGCTTAGTATATATCTTTGACAGTCTTCTTCCTTCCTTCTCCCTGATTTTCATCTAGCACAAGAGGAGTAACTGCTGCTATACGGTTCTGCTCCCATGATGTTCTTCCCTATTATGGGCCCAGAATGAGTTCAGTCACGTGACAATAGAATGTACCTTCTGAAATGTCCCCTCCTTTAAGTTGTTACAGCAGGCCTTTTGTCAAAGCAGTTCAAAAGTCTCACACAGAGACTGTGCTATCTAGAACTGCTCATTATATTGCAATGAAATTCTTCCTCTTCCTTGTCTCATTTCTCCACTCCCCTAGCAATGCTTTCTAGGATCACATTTCAAATAAGATTTTTATACTCAAATCCTGTTTCAAGGTCTGATCCTACAAAGACTTAGAAAAGAATGCAAGACTTCTTTGAAAAAGCTCACACTAATGTTGCTCATTAGCCATTCGGCCATTCATTCAGATAACCTCATTAAATGTAGCCTCGTGGCAAAGGTCCAAGGATCACAGAGCTAAATGAATTAATCCCTAGCCTGAATGTGCATAAAACCTGACAGGGCAGTTGAACAAGTGAGTCACAAATTATAATAAGTTACAGTGAGGACTCCCTCAACAGTGTGGGCGCGATACCATGATGTCACCCTATTTGCTTCAGGGGAAAATACCTGAAACATGTTAATGATTCTCAAGATAGGCTTCAACTACCTTTTTCCCTAAGACACAGAATGAGTCTCAGTATATCTCATAAGGTTTGCACAAAGTTGGGAAGTGTGAGTATTAGAAGCAGATGAGGGGTATCTGGGAAGTGAAACATTCTAGGTAAAAGGAACATAAACAATAATTAAAAGGTAAGAGGTCACTTTGTGACACAACACCACTTGTAAGTATGTCTTACAAGTCTTGCTCAGGAGTGTAAGGACTCAAACTGGGGTGGGGGGAACTCATCTTTTGTTTACATGAATCGGACCTCAAAATTAGTCACTGTAGATCAGTTGCCTGTTATGAATCTGCTATCATTAAAAACTTACTGAATTGATCTTATTCCCCTATTCAAAAACAGTACTTAGAATCAGTGTAATAATTGTTCATCATGTTTCAACAAAGTTAAGCCATGTATGATGATATATGCCCATAGTTCCAGTCCCTCAGGAAGCTAATGTAGGGTATTTGTTTGAATCCAATACTTCAAGGGCAGCTTAAGCAATGTATTGAGACTTCTATCTCAAATAAATAAGTGGTTGATAATAAGGTTTTCATCTTTAGTGAACATAAATATTAAAATATTTATATTACCGTCATTCACACTTTGAAAAGGTATTAAATTATATCTAAATTTTTGTTTTCAAATGCTTTAAAGTATTTCTTGCTCATGAATAATGACCGTCTACAGCAGTGGTTCTCAACCTTCCTAATGCTGTGATCCTTTAAGACAGTTCCTCATGTTGTGGTGACCCTCCCCCATAAAATTATTTTCATTGCCACATCATAATTGTAATTTTGCTACTGTTGTGAATCATATTATAAATATTTGGTATGCAGGATATTTGATATGCGACCTCTGTGAAAGTGTCAGTAGACCCCCAAAAGGGGTCATGACCTACAGGTTGAGAATCACTGTTCTATAGCAAAACTGAAAGAATTCGTTCTTTATTCAGTGTTACCAGTAGAGACTCTCCAGCCTATAGGCATGTGCCACTCACCCAAGTATTCAGTTCCATAGTAAGAATACATCAGGGGGAACGGCTTTCTCTTCTTCAGGGCGTACTGCTTCCCAGAGTACAAAATTGCCTGGCATATTGATTTAATTTGTGCTGGGGTCAATACCTGAATAAAGAAAGATCAAAAAGTCAAAGTCGAAGCAGGACTTCTATCTCTGGCCCCTCAAACATTAAATCAGAGGGCTTAAAAAGGCTATCCTATATGTAAAATTTAGCCAAACTTCCTTCCTATTTTGCCACTTGTTCTCCTTCTTTTGATTCAAGTTTATCTACCCTCTTCAGAACATTTAAAATAGACACTTTAGCCGTGATAGGTTGTTACAAAATACAAAGACCACCATATACATGTTCTATCATTAATCCTTGTCATGGCGACAAGAATTTCCTCAGGAATGAACAAACGCTGATGCTAATGGATTGTGCTTAACAAAGCCACTACTCCTGCCACAGCATATGCTACATACAGGTCTGTCCCAGACATCAGACCTTTAATTGGAGGCATTTAGGCTGTGCATATAAAGCCATGTCTCTACATCAAGCCACTGAGTGACAAATTTAGAGCATCCACTTGCGTTCCCGGAATGAAAGCAACGTCCAGTTGTGCCAAGACAAAAATCACTTAATCACTAAAATGATTCCGAATTGAGAAAGGCTGAAATCCAAGGGCTTGTGGTCTTTCACATTTTCCTCAAACTGTGTATAATCAGTTTTAGGATTATGAAAGGAGAATCTGTCAAGCCTCCAAAGCACAAAGGAGCTTGTTAATATTCTCCTCTGGTTTGCACTATGCTCAGTGACCTGTCTCCCCTCAGGGGCCAACTGGATGCTTCCTTTGGTTTGTTTACTCTATTATCGAGCTTCCTGTTATGATGAAACACTTCCCCTCTTGCTGTCTTAGTTCTGTATCTCACTAGACTATCAGTCCCTTAAGAGCATCAGTCTGATTAAGTTTCATTAGTTTGAATCTCTGGTGCCTAACACAAAAATTGAGGTTGGGGGAAGAGGAAACTTTGATAACAGATGACTAAGTTTTAGAGGAAATATAAAAAACAGAAACTTCCTTCCTTTACCCCTACTCTTGCTTCCTTTTCTCTTCCCCTTCTTTTCACAATCATTTCTTAAGCGTGTATTCCATTTCAAATAAGCTTATTGTAGGTGCTGGCGCTAGGACAGTGAACATAATAGACTTTGACTTGCTCTGAGGACACCAAGCTTCCCAAAAAGGCAAACAGTAATAGAAAAGTACTGGTCAGGCTGACCTGGAAAAAGCTATCTACAGTCCAGCCTGATTGACTCTAGGAGCAAGAAAAACATCACTGAATCTAGGCCTCTCTCCTAAAGACCCATAGGGCTCACTTATCTATATCTGTCATTAGACCAACAAATTATTTTTTTAAATAAAACAATAATGATCTAAACCATAAATTCCCTGTTTTAATCAATATTAGGAAAATAAAGTACAATCCATTTTCTGGGTTCCTCAAATCTAGGACTTACTTAACAAGATGATTACTTAAAGAAGAATCCGTTACTAAGTATGGCACATATCCTGTAATCCAAGCACTTGGGAAGCTAAATCAGGAAAATCTCAAGTTCTAGGTTTGCCCAGCTTATATACTGATACCACATTTCAAAATGTATTCAAGAAAAAAGGAAACTATCTACTCATTAATTTACCAATTATTATTTATTGAGTTTCTATTCTAGTAAGGCCCTCACTTGATCTCATAGGGAGATTCTTGAAAGTATGGGCTACGTTCTGCCCTATAGGGAATTTACTATCTGCTGATGGAGATGAGAGACAACAGTTTGTTGGATTCATGAACCTAGAGATGGAAAGAAACGTGGACGATGAAGTGCTGCTCAGCTTCCCTAAGATTTTACTCTATCCTCAGTTCCACTTGCTCAGAAACATTTACATCATGACTTTTAATTTCAATTTTCCTTTTACTCTCTACCTATCTTTGTCTCTTGAGTTTATCTCTCTTTTCTTTCTACCCATGAAATCCCCATCTTCCTATGTACCGCCAGTGTCACATCCACCCAAACTCGGGTCTTTCCTTAGCCTAATGGCATATTTTTCCTAAATGATTTTTTGACTCAACTATGTAAGTTGTTGGCCCCCAAATTTACCTGCCATATGAAAACACTCTTTTCTTTAGTAAGAGCAACTGATTTTATACTGAATCTTACTGTTTAAAGTCTTACATCATTAATCTCAAATCAGCTCCTCCATCTTGGCTCTCTTTCAGAAAATTGCTAAGATCCTTGGAGGGTTTGGATCTAATACAATTCTAATCTGATTCCATTCACCTTTTATTTTCCTAGGAATATATCTTGCTCCTTGGCTATCCACAGGTCTTATCTGTCCTATATTGATTCTGAGTTCACGTGACAGACAATTTCTCTGGCAGAAAATTGTCACCAAATTACTAAATTACTACAGTTTTTCTATTTGTTTTTCATGTTCAGAACTGAAAACTGACTCTTTCCTCGGCTGCACATGTACTCTTATTCTCCTATTTATTTTGAAGCCAAAAAACAAAAAAAATCAGCTTGTTCTGTGCATGGTACCCTCCCCCATTCTTTTCATCCTACCATTCAAAATAGGGAATGAATTCATAAAATAGTCTCTCAAAAACCTTGCCTGGTCATGCATCATGTCTGGGCGGTCTCTTCTTATCTCACAGAAACACCGTGAAAAACAAAGCGAACACCGGTGCTTGTTCAGCTGGATAGAGAGTAGTTATGCCCGCAGTTCTTTATCTCTGAGAACAGACAAGACCTACCCTTGAGTTTATTGATCAGCAAATAAATACTGAAAATACTTCTCCCTAAAAGTCTGTGTGTGGGAAGAAAGATTGAGAAAGAAAATACCCCTCCCCCTCCAACAAACAACACAGAAGCAAAGTATTGGGGCATGAGTCTTAGGGGTAAGAGTTGAGTTTGGGTCCCTTTCCTGTCTGCTTTCTCAAACATCTCATTTCCTGCTCCATCACTCAGGAAGGCGAATTGAGCACGTGCACTCCCTCTGAGGATATGGCCCCTGGGTACACTCAGATAGCGGGGAATGAGAAAGCAGCCTTTCCAGGTGGAAGGGACAGAAAGCAACAGAGGAGCTCCCTATCCACCGATCAAATTGTTCCTATAAGAAGCCTGATGCCTTCTCCTGTATTCTTAACCCTGAAGGCCTAATGCTTTGTTGATACTTTGGATTAATTGGTGTTTTTTTTTTTCAACCTCCTTGGCTTAGGCTGAATTAAAATAAAGATATCTCAAAAATGCTGAAGCAGGTCTATGGTGGTTTGCTTTAAACAGTTTCATTAGTTAACTGATTCCCTTCACTGACCGTGTAACATAGTCTTATTAGGCTGGCCTCTAGTATGAAGAGATGAAAAAGCAATTAAACAAATGGTATGTTTCTTGCTCCTGCCTGAAGGCTGTGACTGAACCACATCCATACAGAGATGACCTTCATTAAGGAAATGAATAAAATGGAGTAGGCTGCAAGATGCTTGCCCCACACCACAGACTCTGTACTGGCACACAGCCCCTACGAAAGAGCAATCTTTGCTAGCTGTATTTCTTTGTCTGGGCATCAAATACCATTTGCCCTTCCCCTATTGGCAGTAATTGGATTTTCAGATAGTAGCAGTGAAATCCAAGGTCTATCAGTATACTAAGGCATCCAATGCTACTAAATTTCTCTTCTCAACAATTTGAAATGCATATTCTGAAAGAAATGAAGCTGCCAGCAATGACAGCTGATGCTGACAGCAGGTCAGGTTACGGCAGGGATGGACCCATGTGCAGCTGAGACTTTGCAGAAACATGCAGGAGCTATGGGGGAGAAAGACTGTGGAGCTCACCCCAAACTCAGAGTGAAAGGAGGCTAGGGCAGAAACAATTACGTGGAAAGGAACTTAGAGAAAGGTAGCTGGTCCCTATAACTCTTAACTCATGACAGTTTAAGGAAATCCCTTTTCGGGCTTCCTGTCAAGTTTTTATACAGCACACACTCTCATCCATCCTCCCAATTTGAGTTATTTGAGAGAGCCTCAGGCTTGTTGTCTCCCCTCCCCAGAGCAACCCTTCCTGGAACAGCATGGATAGAAAGCCAGTGCTTTCTCTACTTACACTGCCATCCTCCACATAAACATCAACTCTGCTACCTACCAGTATGGATTGAACAATGATGCCTGCATCTAAGATATACAAAAGAGACTTCAGTCCTTGGGCAGTATCAAAGCTCACTGTAAATATCTGAAATCTCAGATGCATATTCTCTTCAAGTGTGGTCTATGGACCAGAAGAAGTCCTGCCACCATCCAAGAACCTTTAGAAATACAGATTTCCAGCTCCGGTTCAAAATCCACAGAATCAGAAACTGAATTTTCACAAGATCGCCAGGTGGCATGAATTCAGATGAGGGCTTGAGAAGCATAGGCTTCTGCAGTTATTATCTGTGAATTCATCTGGTATTAGATGAAAGCCTGATTATGCTGCATATTTAAATTACATAAGCCAGGCTTTCCATATTTTAAAAACACTTTGCAAACGATTTTATTTATTTTCAATTTTATGTGCATGAGTTTGTGCCTGAATATAAATCTATGATGCACCACGTGTACGCAGTGTCCAAAAGGCCAGAAAAGGGATGGGATACCCCTGTGATGGTAGTTGCTGAAAGTTGTAAGCTGCCATATGGGTGCTAGGAATCAAAGCTTGGTCCTCTGGAAGAGTAGACAGTCCTTTTAACTGCTAAGCCATCTTTCCAGCCCCCAGAACCACTCCTCAACTGTAACTACCACACCCTTGGTTTCTTTTCTTTTTTCTTTTTGTTTTTCTTAGAAAGCATTTAATTGGGGGCTTGGTTACAGTTTCAGAGGTTTAGTCCATTGTCATCATGGCAAGGACCTTGGTTTCTATATTAACAAAAGGAAATTGACAAGTTTTTATAAACAGGTATTAAAGATAGTGCTTTAGAAGTCGTTTAGCAACTTAGAAAATCAATCAAATTGATGTTTTGATTTTATTATAGAGGGACAGCAAGAACTTTGTGATAAAGTTTAAAACCAGGAAACAGAAAATTGAAAGTCAGCATGGAATTCTCCATTTCCTACTTAGACATTTTTGGTTTTGATACACAGTCTCACTATGTAGTCTTAACTGGTCCAAACTCACTATGTAGACCAGGCTAGTCCCAAACTCACAGAGATCTGCCCACCTTTCCCTCTGGAGTACTGCAATTAAAGGTATATGCCCCCATGCTAGGCTCCTACCTACACATTTTTTGTATCAACCCATAGAAAGGATACTATAGCCTCCTTTCACCCAACAAACAAGGGTTATTACAAGTAGTTAGGATGTGTACTCCCTCACTACTGGTACTCAGGAATACAGCAGCTTCAAAGACGTGTCTCTTGTCTCAAGGTATGGTACCAGTAAGATAAATACCAACACATGGCATGTCTACATGACAGAAAACAATTCTGCGTTTCCAGGGGTTAACAGGGCAAAGGAGAATAGTATCCTATTCTCCACTGTAGAGTTATTTTTTAAAAAATTACCAATCTAAATAATGTCAATTTAGAATGTTACAAAGGTTTTATATAAGAACAATAATCACACATGGTTGGAGTTATACTTCTGCTGTCTCTAGGGCTGTATTCTGCTTGGGGTTCTCTGGGTTACTTAGAAATGCCAGGCCTTTCATGAAATCTCTTTAGTGGGTGGGTATTTACATAGGGCACTGAGAAGACAGAAACTTGGACCAACAATATACACACAAGTCAAGTTGAAGTTATTGATAATAAATGAAGATTCCAAATCTGTTAGGTTTAGGGTGAGGCTAGGGTTCTCCATTTCTAACAATTGCCAGATGAAGCTGAGGCTGGTGATGCTGCCTCTGGACCACACCTGAAGTGGCAAAGGACGATGCGAAGACAGAGGCTGGTTACTGAACAGGACTTCTCTTGGGAAGTAGTAAGAAAACTAGAATAAAGGAACTATAGGAAGTTTGAAAAAACAGTCAGAGAAGCAAGAGGGAGTGTCAAGCATCATGTTATACAATCATTAGATTACTCAGAAAGAGGAAGCAACAATGGGACATTGTCTATCAATATGCTGCATGCAGGAAAAACATGTCCAAATTTACAAACCCCAGTGGGAAGCGCTCTCAGCCAATGTGGCCAGGTTTGTTGTTTTCTTAATTAGTCTCCAAATGGGGCATGTGTGCTGGTGCAGAATGAGCAAGTTCCATCTGATTTTCCTGATGCTCCCTGACTATTATTATGCTGGGCAAGTAGGAATGGGAGGCAGGTTGCTGGAGCGATGATTATTCTCCAGCCATTAAAGGGACTCAACAGGGAATTTCAGTTGTAAACATTTGGTCCAATACTATTTCACTGTTGTTCCCATTCCTTTCTCATGTCAAGAAACAAGAACCAACAAAACACTGAGAGCCAGAAAATGAAAAAAAAAAACAAAACAAAACAGGTTTTACTTCATTTTTGTGGACTGCTAATTTTTAAGACTCATTAGAGATACTGGTCACCCAGTCAGGATCCAGTGACTAGATGATGACTCAGAGCCTGAACCAAAAGCAAATCAAGACACTTACCACATCTATTTACTCAGGTAATAGTGAGACTCCTACAAAAAAGGCAGTTCTTAATATAGGGTTGTACATTGCAGTCACTGGGGAAATTTGAAAATTATTGATGCCCTGACCTAAGGCCAAATTAATGCCATCATAGTCCCTGAGGAGAGCATTCCAGCATCTCCATATTTTTTAAGTTCTCCAAATAATTATAAAATTTCAATGTTGAAAAGTATTACCATGAAATCACAAATTACTGAAAAAACGTTTAAAGGCAATATGGAAAAGAAAAAGGGGAGGAGGAAGAAAAGGAAGGTTAAATGGAAGATAAACAGCAGGTTGCCTAGGTACAGAAAAACAGACTTTAGTGTACAACAAACACAAGCAGAAGGAAGACAGTGACGTGCACATAAATGGATATGCTGAGTCAGGCTAGAGGCCTTATAAACACTACCCAAGGTTTCCAAGCCAGCTAGAAGTATACCACTTGTTGGAGGTTAATGATGAAACTGCAGATAGTGAGCTGGATGAGGAATCTGGAAATTTGGTGCTTGAGATCCAATTTTGGCACCATGATCATGGTTAAGTGATGAGATTTCAGTTCCCTCTTTTTTAAAATCAAGGAGTGAAGCTGAAATCTGTTCTTATATATATGTTTCTCAACTTGTTGGTGACTACTGGGCTTGCATTAGTCAGGATCATCCAGGGGCTGAGGGGCCCTTAATATTTATTGACTATTGGAAAATGACAGATTCTGGGAAAGAAGGAGCCATAATATCCAGTTGTGTGTTTAGCCATGAGGCCCTAGTTAAACTCTACAGGACACAAAACAAACAAAAATGAATATTGGAAAGAGATTTGCAGGAAAGAAGGGGAACTGATGGGGAGTAAGGTCAGAGAGGGTGTGAGGAGATCGATCAGAATGCATTACAAAAACATATGAAATTGTCAATGAACAATGTTATTAATAAATGTACATGAATGTATATAAATATAACCCGTTGAGTCCATTTTGTTGGAGGTGTTATATGCATTCAAGGATGATCACTCTGCATTGGACAACTAATAAGGCAGTTCATCCTCAGAGAAGGCTAATTTTCCTCTTCTCTCTGCAGTAATTAGTTGCCTCTAGTTTTTTGTGTAGGGATGAGAATCTTGTGAAAATTTTCCCCTTACATCTTAACATGTTCACTGATGTATCCGTAGCAATAGCATATGTATATACACATATATATGCAGCAATATATATTCAAATACACATTTTATCTGTAGTAATATAGTCAAAGAAAAAGAAGCTATCAATTTGACAGTAGGAGGCATGGAGAAAGTACAATGGAGGATAGCTGGGAGAAGCTGAAAGGGAGGAAAGGGAGGTGTAGTGATGTAATTCTACTTTAGCTAAAATAAAGTTAAGAATTTTGCCTAAAAATCTGGGCTAAAAATCTTTCTAAAACACAGCTTCCTGGGCCAGAGACTGACTGGGGAATGGTACCTGAGATGATGTATTTGTAACAGTCTTTTGAATGGTGGTGGTGTTGTCAGTAAGGGAAGCACTCAATGAGTAATTTTCTAATAGATGACCACCTAAGGCCCCTTAGGACTTCAAATTTTATCATTCTCTTAAGGTATCAGTGGAGTCTGGGTTTTGGATATAAGGAATACAGCATAGTGAAAAGCAGAGCAGAAAGTCAAGATATTTGCAGTTTCTTTCAGAAATTTCTGTGTAAAGTTGGAGTTAAGAAAGAAAGTTTCTGAAGACATTAGCATTTAAAAGAAGTCAGACCAGTGAAACAGCTCAGCTAAAACCAAGCTGGTAGCATACCTCTCAGTAACCTACTTTCTCTAACTTGGCCCAAACCCTTAAACTTCCAAGCATTGGTGTCACTGGCTAGAGGTCAAAATTTTGATCTATAAACCTGGAGGATCATTTACATTCAAACCTTAACAACATCGTTAAGCATGAATGTTCAGTTGATCATTGCACACCAGCCCTTCCCCCTGTAAGCCACTGATAAATGAATATGTCATTGCAGTATTCTTAAACCATGACACATCTTTTCAAGTATCTGATGGCTACATGACACAGTACGAGAGAGATTAGAAATATAATACAGTTCCCCGCCTCCCCACCTGCCTCTGCTTCTGGCTAACAGGAAGAGAACAATTTTGCTCTGTCATGCTCTTCTGCTTGAACACAATCCCAGAAACAATGAAGCCAGCAACTATAGACTGAAACCCTTGAATCCAAGAGCCAGCAATGAATATTTTCTAATTGTAAGCTGCTTTGTTCAGTATCTTACAATAGCAGCAAGAATTCTAATTAGCATGCTTTTTAAACTGCAGTTTTCTCACTTGTCAAAAAGGAGTTATAATAAAACCTATCTCACTGAATTGTTAGGATTCCACCAAAGATATGCAGTATGGCTCCTCACATGAAACACTTTTAAAACACACAGAAACTACCAAAGTGTGGATTCTGAAGTCCAATAATGACTCAAAGCCTAGTGTCCAGCAACATAAGCTTCAGAAGATTTCTCACAAAGTAACCCTGCCTCTGTCCTTCTCCCGTACCTTATCTGTGATCCAAGCCACACCTACGGGATGCCAGCATGCCCTAAGTTATTGCAGCAAGAAAGTCATAAACTAGTAATCTACGCTCTTCATGTCTGCATATCTATAC